TTTCACCCAGTATATCATATCTATTCATCAATTATAGTTATAGACATATTTGTTGGTCAATGCAACTGATCAGCCTCAATAAGTGTTTCCAATGTCTTAGGAGATTGAGAAACTGAAAATGTTGCAGAGCCAAACCTGGATTCTAACAAATGTTGCAATTGGAAGTATTCCCCATCAGCCATCCCAGGCATTTCTGAGCAAAGATGAGAGACTGCTTTGCCTGCATCCCACTACCACCTTTTAAAATACCATGTCTCTCTGCTTTTGCTAATATTAGTGTGCTTTGGACACAGTCTTCAAAAAGCTTCACAACCATTATTTAATTATAATTCTTACAACAGTTCAGTGTGGTTTGATCTATTTTCTCCATATTGCAGATGGAAAGCCAAGGAAGGGCAGTGGCTTGCCAAGGACACTTTTGACATTCTTTGTTTTGGAAGCTAAAGTATGTTGTGATAACTGGTTTAGCATAGTGGCTATGAGACCAAGTTGTGAATCAGTAAGTTTGCCTATGTCTTTAATTCACTAAGGGGACAATCCTATGCTGGTGAATTAAGAAACAAATTCCACTAAGTTTCATGAAACTTGATCATAAGTAAATTTGGGATTGTGACCTAAGTATTTTTAAGCAAGCCACTGGCCTACATCTTTGCACTTCATGTCTGTGACTCTTTCCTGGAAAACTGCAACTCTGTCGTATAACACAGTGGCTACAAGGCCTACTCAGAAGTAAGTCCTATTGAGTTCAATGGCACTTACTATTAGGACAAAATATCTAGATTTGCAGCATGTGTTATGAATCAAGAAACCCTTGCAATGAGCCTCACCTAATCTTCATCAATTGAGACGGCCAATCCAGATGTTATACAAAATATATTAATGGCTCTCCTACTTTGTCAAAGTCACAGCACAAAGCACAAACTGGACCGAGACAACAGTGTTGCTGTAGGGCAGGGTTTGCCAGGCACTTTTCCCAATTTAATTCTCCATTCTTTGCTGTGTTTGCATATAATGGCAATGCAGAGTATGGTTTGTTGTTGAAGTGTGAGTTGTCATTATGTGTATATCCTGCTCTATGGTTTAAATATGGACTGCTAAGCATGAACACTCAAGGAAAAGACTCATGGGTGGTTGTTTGGCTCTGAACTGAGGGTTGTTTGTGGTTAGCATGCCATAGTTAAATCATAGTGCAGAGTCCACACTTAGCAATCCATGATCAGCAACAATCCATTCTCAGGGTTGATATGTGAGGCAGGTCAATATCTGCTTTAAGCCATAGAAGGAGGCAGACAAACAGCTATGATACTGAGAATGTGTTAAACTAGGGAAGGTGGTTTGGTTTGGTTTTAAAAAGTCGCTTCTAAGACCACAGCCCTAGTTCAGTATGAGAACCCCATTTATTTTTAAGTCTTAGATTTTTTTAAAATTGGGGAGATCCAGTCATGGATTGCTCATGTCATAATTAGTATGTCCCTGAGTTAGAAAAAGATCATGAGGTCAATTTAGGGGGAACAAAATGCATCAGACAAATTTTGTCTCCTGATTCCTAAGATGCCTAAGATCTATCTTACATAGGATTGACTTCAGAGTATTAACACCTGTTAGGCTAATTATAGCAAAGGACTGAAAAGTAAAATATTGAGGAACTGGTACAAAGAAGTTTGGAATCTGTCTATTAATGATAAGTTAACTTGTGATATTAAAATAAAAAGGTCTGATAAATAAGAATAATTTTGGAGATATTTGGGGGCTGTTAATAAACAGTACTATTAATAAAAGGGCAAGGCTTTGCACTTTCACAAGATTCATTGCAATTTTGGAAGGGAGATGGAAACTCTTGGAAGAGTAAACAATATAACATGTATCCAATGGTCCTGGATATACTGTTTTTTATATTTTAGTATAATTTTAATTTTATAATTTCTTTCTTTTTAGTTGTATTGCATATTTTATGTATGTTGTATTGATTAATTTCTGTTATTATTTGATAAAGTATAATAATGATGTTGATGATGGATTGGGTTCAGAGTAGATTCACTGAAATCAATGGCATGTAAGTTAAATATGAATGACTAAGAATTCAGTTCAATGAAAGCTGGGACAGAAAAAAAGAACTACAACTTCCAGCATGCATCAGTTAGCTGCCTTGGGCATATGGGGAGTTGCAGGTCTTTTTTATTTTCTCTTTCTAAGCTTGCATAGGTCATACTTTAAAATAGGCTTCTACCCATTATTGACTGTAATTAATTGCTGATGTCTGCAAGTGAATTTTTGTCCCTGACAGATCTGGTTCAGTTACAATGCAAGGAGCTAATTACTGATGTTGAGCTCCAAGGATTGCACAACGCCAACCCCAAATGACCTGCACAAGTAAGTGACTACATCAAAAATATTAAAAACCAGAGCAACAGGAATATTATTTTTTATTATTATTATTATAACATTTCTATGCCGCCCCTTGCCGAAACCTCGGGGCGGCTTACAACATCATAAAATACAGAATAAAGATTATTTCTGGCCTTGAAAGATGTTATTCAAGAAAAGACCTTTTCTGTGGCCAGTCTCAGGCTGCCAAAGTCCATCTTAAGGGAGGCTAGTTTACTCCCATGCTGCTGTGCTTGCACAGATCATTCAATTTAAGAGGGCCTTTATCTTGTACATTGACTGGATGCCATTTTTAATAATGTAATACCTTTTGTTGTATTACAACCAGGAACTGAAATTTAATTAATTGGCATTGTTACCACTTGATGTACCCATGATACTCGACACTGAAGGTGCAAAATATTTTACTGTGGCACAAAAAGTGCTATTTGTGGGGGTAGAAAGAAGGGAGTTCAATAAGATAAGTATATGTGTGTGTGTGTATATAGTGAGAGTCCTGAGCATGTGCATATAAAAATATAAAGTCGATTCCTGAATATGTGTATTCCTTTACCAGAAACCATGAATGGACACCCAAGAGCCAACACTGCATACAATAGCAAATGCCTCAACCCCCTGCAAGATCAACCAGCACTGCTCCCTGACTTCCTACCCATGAAGAACAGTCATCACCAGCATGGGAGAGGTGTCTCCACTGAGGTTTGAGGTTGGGTGGACCCCTCCATTGTAGCACACTGCTGCTGCACCACCTCTGCCTGCCTCCAGTGGGCAGGCTCCAACACAGGCAAGGCATAGGTTTATCTGTTCCCTCGCCAAACCTCTTTCCTCAAAGTGGCTGTGTCGGTGGTGGCAGGCAAAAAAGCAATTTCTAACATGAAACCAAGCTAGAGTGGGTCATTGCCACATTCTGTAGCTTGTTGCCACCAATGTTCAGTTGCAAGTCATATATTTGGGAGGCACCGCAGTGCCTTTCAGCAGCACAGCAGCAGGGCCTGCATGCAGACCATGGGCTATGTGTTGCCCAGACCTGCCCCAAAGGGTGGCAGGGATAGGCCTAACTTGATGGCCAGAACAAGCAGGAAAACAGTTGCTGCCTTTGTTTATTTAAATGACCTGTCCCCAGTTAGCACAACAAGGCAGGACTGTGATGGCTGTTCCCAATCTCAGGAGCTACCCACTCAGTCAAGGGTGCAAGCAAGGAAGAAGAGGTAGGAGACACATCCTGCAAGCAGCACCCTTCCTTTGCCCCACAGGCCTGTCCTTTGCTCCCGGGTTCTTCTATAGCAGGGGTAGGCAACATGGTGACTGCAACCACAGCGCGTCCTTTTCTTGAGGCCCACCAAGTGGGCGTGCTTTACCCCTCCCACAAACAAATGTACTTTCTTAGTGGCAGCTTGGACAGTGCTGAAAACTGTATCTTTGGTCAATTTTGTTGCAACCCTCATGATAGTCATTTTTTGGTGGGGCACAGGAATGTTTCTCAAATGTAGCCATGGCCAAAACAAAGAACAAACAGTTCTTTAATGTGAACTGCTTAAGGATTTTAAGGATGCAATCCTAAAACATTACATTGCACATTCAATGATGAGAAGCTTCCAAATACAGAGATTTCTGATCATTCCATGCCAGGCAGAATGAACACTTGGAGATGTTCTTTTCCTCCCCAGCTTCCTGCCCTGCATATTTTACAAGTTGGGTGTTTCGCTCATTCAGAACTTGTACTTCAGAGAAGAAAGATGGAAGAGACTGAGAATAGCTTGCATACTGGCCTCTCCAGTTCCCTCTCTACCCCATCTACCAAAACATTTCCTTTTGGTCCCAGTTCTTTCCATACCAGCTGCAAGAGGGCAAGGTACGCTGGCAGTAAAGTATTTGCTGAGCAGTGTGAGAAATTATAATGGATGTAATACGATGTGCATGGGTTAAGCTTGCTTCTTAACAACTTCCTGACTCTAGACACCCTCTAAAACATCTAGATGAACAGAAGTAGTTATAAAGCATTATAAAAGTAATTACCTTGTTTCAACACCCCATCCTACTTTTTTCCTCATTTCTTTTTATGGGAATAGGTGCTTTATGTCTGCTTGACACAATGGAGGAAAAAACATCATGAAACATGGTTTGCATTGTTTTATTAACATTGATGTTTTACTTTTTAAAAAATTGGTTTTGCCCGCTCGTCATAAACTGGCAAAACCAAAAGTTTTGTACAACTCAGGACACATCCATGAACCCAACTACCTGCACAAATTAAAGAGGTAAATTCAGTTTGTAATTCTTGTCTGAATAAACTGTACTTTTGATATGACACAGTACTTTATGCCAAGGCAAATTATAGATTATATATTTTACTTTTCTAAAGTAACAAAGTTTCTTTCAAGCTATAGTGCATTTTTACTTTTTCCCCCTAAAATTTCCACGGTCTTTTAAAAAATACCTCCTTCCCGCCCCCTTTGGCTCCAAAATCTCTGGAACCTTTTGGCATCTCTGCCTAGGTTGCTTCCGGAAACGGAGATCTGCCCGCACAAGGGCACGTGGCAACTCTTGACGCGATCCCAACCGGCCGGCAGGCGGCCGGAACGGGCCAGCGGCGGGAGCCTCTGCGTTATAAATGGCCGGCGGATGGCTGCTCCTGGGGGGCCCCTGGTGGTGAGCGAGGTCTTCGCCAGCTGCTGCTGGCTAGTTCCTGCTCGCTGCAAAGCAGAGGCGCTGCGGAAGCGCAGCCGAGTCGGCTCCATGGCCTTTATTCGGAAGAGGCAGCAGGAACAGCAGCTCTACCCCAAAGAGAGGTGGGTGCGGCGGCGCGCCAGGGCGAGCTTGCTCCGCGGCACATTCGGGGTCCTGGGGGCGAGCAGGCGACGGGGAGTCCGGGCGTCGTCCTGCCTCCGGAAGGGAGCGTCTCTGTTTGCATGCGCTCTGAGCCCGAAAGCTGACCCGAGCCGCTCTCAAGTGAAGCGGGCAGTCCCCTGGATCTTTCGGTTATCAGGCCCAGCACTGGGGGCACCCCAAGCCAAGCGAGACAGGCGGGACAGAGCTGGTCTTGAATGTGCGCCATGGAAGCGTCCGCGTCTTCTCCAAATTCTTTTGGCTCGTCGCGGTGCCCTTCTGTTTTGCACCGCCGTCAACGCGATCCCGTAACGCGGAAGTCGAGCGGCGCCTGCTTGCTTGGGGGGCACTGCGGAGCAGTCTCACTTCTTAAAGGCTCTGCGCAGCTCTAATCCCCCCAAAGTCTTTACGTCGGCCTAAAAACCGCTTGAATTCCATGGGATTTAAGACCAAGTAGGTCGCCATGTCTTCCTGTTTATTTTCAGCCTTTTCGGATTAAAAGAGTAAACTTTTTCGCTATCTGCCCTGCCCCGGATCGGGGCCTCAGTGCTGGGGTAAACATGAAGGAAGAGGAAAAAGATGTAACTGCTGGACATACGTTTAAAGTAATGTCTGGTTTGGCCCTTACTTCCAAGTGAACACACGTAGATTTCATGCTTGTTCCTTTGCCATCGCACATCCTGTAACAATCGCTTTCTAATCTGTTGTTGCCCATCATTGCTGTCTGTGCGCATTCATGTCTACCTTGTGTTATTTTTGTATAGCCTAAATAGGGCTGGGAAGGTAAAGTGACTTCAAGGGAAGTTTTCAGCTGCATATGTTGACTGGACCAGTGTTTGCGCTGTTCTTTGATTGTGAAGTTTAATTTGTATTTGGGCTCTGCCACTACCTCTTTTGCATAGTGGGCCAGTAGGTTGCTTCTTATTTAGGATTAAGGCTCACTTGGAAACGGGAATTTGGCTTGATGCAAAAGATACAAGGAAATTGTAAACTGATTAGGATCACCATGACATAACCTACTATTGTCAGTACTGCACAGAGCAATCCTATGTATCTACTTAGAGGTAAGTTTCATTGAGTTCAGTAGGTCTACTCCCAGGGACTGCAGCACTCTTTGTGTGATGTAATAATCATTTAAGAAACTTCTGAAAATAAACACTTGCAGTGTGTGAGTTACTGCATTACACTGGTGTGCTCACTGGACAAAACACTGCACTAGTACCTTCTCCACAGCATGCAGGGAAAAATAGGATGAACCCATGAGGTTTGGAGTGGGCAGGGCTCCATAATGAGCCCAAACACATACCAGGCTTATAGCAATGCTGCAGAATAACTCAGACTGACCAAGCTGCACTTGGCAGAGTTTTACATAGACACCAAAGTTAGAGTAGAAATCATTATTTTACAGACAGGAAATACCCAGGAATGAAGCATTAAGTGAATCAAGTATTATCAGTATTGTGATTGAATCTATGTCAAAGAATTCTCAAGACAAGGCTGGGTAAAAAGGAGCCCTGCATTCGTTACTGTGTTCCCATTTTAGAGCTCTGGAATACCAAGGCTAAAACTTTGCTTGTCCAGTTTGATCAAAATATCAGCATCAGAGTCTTAACTGGTAACCATTACCTGTTCACACAACTTTCTTCTCCTGGGTGTGTGGTAGTGTCAGATGAGGGCCTGAAAGTCCCAGCTTCCTTTTTTTTCCTGTTTCATTTTCTCCCTAGCAACTAAGCAAAATGGGGAAAATCTGATGTTTTAATTTTCTGCATCTATTTATTTTTATCCCACTTTGATCTTCACTGACATTTAGGTTCTCAGGGATCTATACAAACTTTTCACATCTTACTAAAGAAGCTTAATTCCTAGAACTTGCTTTCTACATGCAAAGACACGCCATTTCTTTGTGTTTGCTTTCTAAAAAACCAACTCATTCACATTTCCAGTTAGCTCTTCCCCCATCTTTCCAGTTTGAACTTATGTATAGAAAATCACTTAAGGTTCCAATCCTGTTTCCACTTGCCAGGGAATAAGCTCCACTGAACCATCCCGGCTGCCTTAAACTCTACCACACACCTCTTAGAAAGTAAAAGTTAAACAGCATCTTGCAGTTTATGAGCTAGCTTTAAAACAAGAATGGAAATACCTCTGTGTGTGTGGAGGGGAATTTAATAGTTATCAAGATCATAATAGCAGTCAAGAGGGGAATCTTAACTTCTTCCTGCCCTGCTTTGATTCAGAGGAAATATCTTCTCTGAAGCTGGTATTTGCTTTGCAGGCTGGCAAAAAGCATAGTGGGGACTGTACAGGATTCCTTGCAGTGCAAATAGCATCTCTGCAGTTTGGCCCTTAGTGCAGGATTTACTGTGGATTGCTTCCCCTCCCTACAACCCAGACATAAAGAGTGCCTTTATGAATAGTCTCCTGTACAGTTCAGTTTTTGTAGGGCACTCTTCTGTAATCCCCCTGGTTTTCTGTGCAGTCATATGCTAGTAGCTCTAGGAAGGAGGGAAATGCACTGGTCACATGCGAATATTTTACAAATACTGTTTCCAATGCAAAGGCATCTCTGGTGCATTGGTAACACAAAAGTCACTAGCTTCTCACCCTTCTAAAGACTATCACATGGGAATGAGACAGTGGAAACAACTGAAGTTGGTTTCAGCTAAAAGGAAGTGATTTGGATACTTCCAATTTATCAGGACTCTCTATACTTTTTTGTATAGATAATTGGCTGCACCCACCTGGAAAGAAAAACAGACTTTAAACTACCCACCCCTAACTGGCAAAGTGCCATTTCAAAGATTGTAATCCCTTTAAATGAAGAATGAAAACAGAGTAATGTCTTGTTGTAGAAAGATCAAAACACTATTCTTGGTAGTTCTGAGTTTTTAAATGGAAACATTTTATAAATGAAGCCTGACAACATTTAGCTGTTTATTATTATAATCCTACATTTCTTGGGACTGGTTAGAATGTAGGAATCGGAGAGCCTCTGATCAGGTTTTCAGGGTATCATTAAAATTATTATTTATACAGTGTATTTCAAATATTCAAAAAGTGTCATTTTTATTAAAGTGGTAATCCTTACAACAACCCAGTAAAGCAGAGGTGGAGCTGTTTGGCCTGAGGGGTAGGGTTTTTCCTAAGGCCACCAAGTGAACTCAACCAGTTGATGCAAATGTGGGTTTTGGATGAGGGCTTGCTAAACACTGCCTCCAGTTAAGCCTGCTTCATTGATAGGGTCATTCACATTGGTCTGGTGTCATTTAGTCTGATTAACCTTTGCATGAAAATCCACAAAAACATGTTGCTATACTGTTAATGGGGCATGGTACCCCTTCGCCTTAAATCAGTTGTCTACTTCACATTACTGCTTAAAAATATTGTTGGCAACTTATAGTTGGAAAGGCATTCCTGGTTTTAAATGTGTTTTATTTTTTTAACCCTGCCTTTCAATACTGAAGGATTCTCCAGGAAGCTTTACTCAGTGCCGTGCAACCCACCATTTGTCCAAAGATTGGAGTATTGTAGGTGTACTTAATTTCGCTTGTCCCATCTAATTGTTGCAATGCTCAGGCAGGGTTCCAGAGGGCCAGCCTTGTCCTCTTCCAAGAATATGCTGTTCCGTTTCTTTCCATCAATATTTTCTATTTCCTCTTCCCAGTATTCTGTGGCCACTGAGCATGCTCAGCTCCCATTGGGCTAATTTGGAATCCCTTTAAGTGTTTTCCTAAAGGTTTATTTAACTGCTGCAAAATCTCTAAAAGTAAGTAGTACCACTTGATGGATATATCATGCCACTTTATTTCGCTACAGTAGTTGTTCTTTTGTTAAAGGGCCTAATTTGAAAGCCTTTACATTAATGTATCCATCATATGCAATACTCAGTTTTTATATAATGATATAAGTGATAAGGAAACATTTCATTGAGAGAAATTGTGAGCATAAAGAGGCTGTCACTTTTGTTCAGTGATAGTTGTTCAGTAGTGAACGTTCCCTTTATGGCTTCAATTACCAATGGTTGACCTGAGTGTGCTCAGGCAGGGGTGAAGTTAGGTCTTTAGTATCATGTAGCAAGATCAGCATTGGTCTGTGTATTGCATGCTGCTTTGGTTCCTGTTCAGAAAGCTTAACTACTTGTGTGTTCTTTTTGGAAAGAAATTAGCAGCCTTCATTCTTCCTGGATGCATGTTTGGAATCTCAGGTGTAGTGCCATTTATTTCAAAATCAAGATCATGCAACAGCTGTATTTGGACATCATGCTAAAATCCTAGTCTAATATGACAGAAGCAAGCCTAGATGGGATCTGCGCTCGTATGTTTCCCAGTAATTCCCTTCTCAGGCATGGCTGCAAAGAAGTTTGGAGGTGTCATTTCTAGTTTTGGTAAACTGGAATGGGGAACTTCTTTCAGCTCAAGGGCTATATTCAATTTTGGAGATGTTCTCCAGGGCCACATGCCAGCAGGAAGCATAGCCACAAACAAAGGATCTGAGAATAAAGCACATTCCAGCAAATGCAATTTAAAGCTCTTAATTCCAGTAACTGAGCTTTAAAAGGGGCATGTCGGCCATTAGAATGGGGGGGAAAGAACTGCACAGAATCCAAGAAACCAAACCATTTGTTTTGCCAGGGGGGCGGGGGTTGCTGGAGGAAGGGGCCAGGGTAAGGGCATGTGGTTGTCTGGGGGACTCCAAACAGCCAGATTTGACCTCTATGCCCAATGTTTCCCACCCCCATCTATGCCAACAAACTATGTTTAATGTTAACTATATTTTTTTTACATCCAAAATTACAAACCTTGCACAAGCAGTGGAAGAGTGCTCTGCCAAAAACTGGACAATTACACTGTTCTACTTCAGACCTGTATACGTAACACAGCCTGTAATGTTCAGTAGACCTCTTAATGTGCCGGAGAGGTTTCTTGTGTGTGGGGCTGGTACAGGAGGAGAGAAGGGAAGAAGAGATGCTATATGAACTGCTTTCTGTTCATACCATATTGGATCTTGCTGTAGTTCTCAAAGGAATGCTAGAGGACTATCTGTAATTACTCAGTCTAATTAAAGAATAACTGCATGAAAGAACTCCCATAGGTGAAAAGATAATTTCTTAGAAAGTTAGTAAAGACTTGTGCCAGAATATTGAGCGTGTAGCACAACTCTTAATCTTATCACTATCTGATAGTAAATTCCTTTTTCTTAAACTCTTGGATTCCCCAGTAGGTATCTACACTACATTCATAGCTATGAAGGATATACTCCTTTCCTGGATCAGATGGGTGTATAATGAGAATGAAACCTGAGAACCTCCTCTTCAGCTCAGTGTGCAAAATTTGGGTGAATACTGTTAAGCTTTTGATGCCAGCTAAAAACATTTGTTTACGTAAACATAGGACAGCATTTAATCAATACTTATTTAATGTTTCATTTAGCTGTTTTGTTTGTTCAAGCCTTGACATATTTTCAAATCAATTTTTCTCTGTTGTTGACCTGATACTTTCTTTAACATTTTCTTTCATAATGTCAGATTGTTCTTAAGTTCTGAGTTGTTTTGGAGGCTTTGCGTGGGCTTACAGGTAGGATACAGAATAAGCGGTGATGATGACAGTGGGCAATCAGCTAGAACATTCTGCTGGTTTGGGCTAAATGAGGAACTTGGGAGCAGTTTCTTTCAAAGTCAGGCATTCATACTCTAGTGGGTGTTCAAAAACCATGATCCTAGCCCATCGTGGCTTCTGACTTGGTGGTAGATGAAGATACCTTTATTGATAATGAAATCTGAACTTCCCTGTTTATCTGTGTGGTTTTTAAATGATATTTGCTTGTTTTTACTTATAGTGGTATGAATGAAAAAAAAGGTATGTAGCAGCAGCCCAGAGTGAAGGTGTTCTGCAAGAGCAACAAATGATTAACTCTTTAACTCTCTCAAAATCCCCACATACCTGAGCATAAGCCTCACTGATTTCAGTGGTGTTACTTCTGAGTGGGCATGCCTAGGACTGTGCCATGTGTTGTATTTTTCCTGGCAGGGAAGGACAGATGATCGTGGCTGCCTTGGGTGCTAGGGTGACCTGACCCGTCATGGACACTGAGCATGGACACTGATGGGAGTGTGTGGGTAGCAACAAATGCTCCTGGGCCAGCCCTGATGGTAAAACAGACATTTTAAGAGAAGCGATTTGTTACCAAGCTTGTTGTGAATAACCCTCAGCTTCAGGCTGGAACACTGTCATGTTAACAGAAAGGCTTCTGAGAGGCCGCTTGCAAAGATGTTTTCCTTGTTCTTTTACCAAAAGTTATCAGCAGACAGCTTGACATATTCTGGTACTGACTGTGATATGTATGAAGGGGCTGGATATAGCCAGACAATCAGATAACTGCTTGATAAGCTGAGATAGGCATGGATCTTTTGCCAGCCACATAGCCTCTTCCCTGCTCTCTTTATTTATTTATTCATTTATTTGGGATACTTGTATTCCGCCCCATTCGCATAAGCCTCGGGGCGGCTTCCAGCAAATAAATAACAATACAAAAATATAAAAATTGGACACATTCAGGCAGTAAATAAAACCAATAAATAATTTAACAATTAGACCTCTCTGGGGAGCGTATTCCATAAGTGGGGCGCCACCGCAGAGAAGGCCCTCCTCTGGGTATTCACCCTCCTAATATCTTTCACGGACGGTTCCCGGAGAAGGACCTCTGCCACCGATCTTAGAGGGCGGGAGGGCAAGTATGGACAAAGGCGCTCCTTCAGATACCCAGGTCCCAAGCCGTTTAGGGCTTTATAGGTAATCACCAGCACCTTGAATTGGGCCTGGACTTCAATGGGGAGCCAGTGAAGCTGACGGAGGACTGGGGTTATATGAGCACAATGCCCAGTCCCTGTCAGCAACCTGGCAGCTCTATTTTGCACCATCTGAAGTATCCGGACCGTCTTCAGGACCGTCTTTAGTGGCACAAAGCAATCAGACTTGCGAGTCTCCAATTGACCATGGTCCCATTTCATCCAAAGCGGGAAGCCAGTATTACCAGCTTCAGAAGAAGTCTGGATCTTAAATCAAGGTTTGCTTTAAGAATTAAGATACTTACTTGCACTGAAGCTGGCATTAATTTTCTGATTTGGATGAAATGGGAAATGATGGTTCATTGGAGTTTTCCTGATGGGATTGGTGCACATCATGAAAGGAGATTGGAAGAGGCTGCATGCACAGTCCCAAGTCTTGCATGCATCTCAGTTTATTAAGCAGAGAAAAACTCGTACAACTGTGACCTGTGTATAGATTTTAAAAGGGTAAAGGGACTGTAGTTTTCTCCTCCTACAAGACCATAGAACATTCTTCCCCATGCAGGTGCCTTCTAGGTATGTTGGACTAAAACTTTCAGATTCCCCCAGGCAACTGTGAGAGTTGAACTCCAGTGCATCTGGAGAGCACCAGGTTGGGCAGGCTGCCGTAGAATAGGTGGGAGAAAGCAGCAACTTCTTTATGCATAGGCTAAGCATGTTCATATATTAGTTAGAATAGCCAACTCCAATGTTCTTTGGGGCTGAAGCCTGAAGTACATTGGCTGAGACAAGCTGTGCCTTTGTGCATAGTCAAACTTGGTAATAAAACTGGCACCCTCTAGCAGTGAAGAGGCTCACAGTTTTCGAAAATGTTCTCCTCAGGTACAGCTGAGTCAACATAAATTAATCCAAAACTAATATTAAAATTTAAATATAGAATACTTATTTCTTACATAGTAAACCTGTCCTTAAAAATTGGGAGAACCTCAGGATTTCACTTAAATTGCAACACAAATTTTCTGTAGAATTTGGATCATGCAGGTTAGGGAACTTCTTTCAGGTTGTAAGGTGACCATGCTGGGCGTTGGACCCAGTGGCCTTCATGGCCCCTTCCAACTCTGCTAGTCTATGCGTTGATGAATGATTTTAGAAAGACTTCAGATGCATACTTGAACTCAGTTTTGAAGAACCTTTTAGGAACAGTTGTAATTGGGGTCAAAATCAAAGGGAGTGGTGCCAAAATACAAAAGTGCCAATATATTGTAGCTTAAAGCTTTTATTGCCAGTAACTATGCTTTGGGGAAAGTATTTAAACTTTGTGGGGGTGCACAAAAGCCAGGAAAGCACTAAAGCATCTGTAGGTACAGAAAGGGTGTGCTGGGAAAGGAGCAAAAGTAGGCACAGCTGAGCACCTGCCAAGGGCCCACACCCGAGGGGGAGCTCACTGCCCAGAACCCCCGGACTTCCTTTCCCTTTTCACTGTTGCATCCTGCTTGTTCCCCTCCTTCTCACTCTGAACCAGGTGAGATAGAAGAAGAAAAGTAGATGCTCACTAGCTCTCTGTTTGTACTAATGACTTCACCACTGTTGGATTCCTTTGCCTGGTGTTGAAAGTGGTTTTCCTTTTATTGTTTCAGGTTTTCCTTGTTGCTTCTTAATCTGGAAGAATACTTCTTTGAGCAGCATACTGTTAATTGCATTTGTAACAAGGCTGGCAGAGAAAAAAGGTATAATACCACTTCCATAAAATGGAGAAACAGCAGATAATATGATGTTGCATCTACTTAAAATTTTGCAATAATTTTAACTATCTTCTGTCCTCTTAGGAAAATCAGAGGATCATTAAAAATCTGCTCAAAATCAGTGATATTTGAACCTGATGAAATAAACCACCCTGTTATTAAGGTAAGCTGTATTGTAACAGGTGTCAGGGTATTTTAGTCTCCTTAAATTAGAAAGAAAGAAGGAGAGAAAGAAAACGATGTGTGTTTATATCTATTCACATAGATCCTATTGAGAGACTGCATTAAAATAGAAGCCCCAGAAGATGAAGGGTATGTGATCTTGAATGTTTTAAGTATTTTCCCCCTTTGTGTTTCATTTGTGTGATAACTGGTTTTCAAATCTCTGTTTTAGAGGTAACCCTGGACAGATTGCTCTTTTATCCAGTCAGGTAAGTGGTGGGCATTCCACAGTTGTATTTATTTATTTTTAATAAGCAGCATGTTGCTCTTAAAAAGACAAAAGTATGTGTGTTATCATTCAGAAGTTCATGAATTGCAGTTAATGTAGTAATTGGAAGTTTCATAATATTAGAATACTTGCAAAACCAAAAAAGGGGGAAATGGTGTGACATTTCATTGTGAAGGAACTCTATGAGCCAAACTCGAAATTTTATTGTAGACATAATATATTTATTTTGAATGTCCTATATTTGGAATATATTTCAGATCCAAATTATTTCCTACATCGTTTAGTAACTTGCTCTGAATTTACTACAGATAGTCCCTTTGGAAGCAAATAACCTCATGAAAGGGGTGACATTTGGTAAGAGGCAAACCAGGATTTGAATTCTGATCTAGATTTGGCCCATAGCTGTGTAAGGACCTCAGTGCTACTTTTTCTTTAAAGTAACCATGATCAATGAACTTAACACTTCTAAAAATTGTATATGTAACATAGCAGAATATTTTTTTCATAAATGAAGAAACACTAATCATCCTTTTCTTTTTCTTTTAATATATGACAATGCTATTCCCGTTCAATTATGTGTTTTTATTGCTTTCATTTTGAATAGTACGCACCTACAGTTTTTAAAGAATGTTAGAAGTAAAAACAATAGTGAAAGATAAAAGTGTTTCGTTTACTTTTATTACCTCTTTGTTGTACAGAGACAGTGAACCCAAGGTAGAAGTAAGGACAAGAAAACTAGATGTTATTTATTAACAAAATAGATGCTTAAACTGGAAATTGAAGACATGTAGTTGAGCCTAGACTAAGTTAGTCTAACTTCAGTCTCTTTGAACTTGATACATAAATTGATAAATAAATTAAGTTCCTTTTTCCAAGGGAAAAGCAGTTTCTGCTAAGTTACTTTTGCTCCAAACCATGATTAAAAACCTGTTTTAAATTTTTAATTCTAATTTATGAACTCTGTCTTAGATATACCTTTAAAATGAAAGAAGCAGGGTGTGCATTTCAGACAACAGAAATAGAAAAAATCAACAGATTGGAATTAGATTAGAGAATAGAGGAGAATGAGTCAGGAATAGGTTAAACTGACTGTGATACAAAAAGGGAGTCACTGAGTAGAAATACCTGTGAAAATGGGATGAGTAGCTATAGCCTTACTAATGCTTACTTCTTATTACATACATCTGCTTGCATGTTCTATGCTTTGTTTATTTGTTTTTCTTGTGAGCGGCCCCAAGGCTTCGGCGATGGGTGCAGCATAGAAATGTTTTAAATAAATAAATAAATAAATATTATCTACCTTCTCAGGATGTATAAGCTCTCGTACACCTCTAAAATCAGCAAAAACCTGTTACTGCAACATTCTATTAATAAACTATCCTTTTTTAGGCTTTTCTCATTAAGGAGCAAAACATCATTGCACCCTTCAAAACAGAAAGAGTGAGTGTGTATGTGTGTGTGTATATATATATTTCCAAGAAAAACAGCTTAATTTAATTTATTGCCATATATCCTGAACATGAAAAGCAATTAGAAGAAAGTAGAGTTACATTAAATCAGCTGTTTTATCACAGTGCCTGAATTGTGGAAAGTCAGTGCCCAAATGATTTATGGCATAATTTGCCAATAGTGAGATTTACAGATGTAGGAACAGATCTTTCTTGGTTCAAAGTGGTACTGCTAACATTGTCATTTGCTGCAGGCAGTGACTTGCAGTGAAAAGCTAATGTACAATTCTGTGCATCCTTGTCTCTGTAAAACCGAAAGCTGTTTTAATATTGAATGAAACATTTACACTGGCAAAGCAATATTACTTGTCAATAAATATATGTGCATATAATGCGTAATCCATTGACATAACTTGTTTGCAATTTCTAAGAACAGTTCAAAGTCTTCAGATGGTTCGTAGAGAACTTTAATGCTGTATAAGGTACTTCCTGTTCTTTCTGTACATTTAAAAATGTACACTAAAGTGATTTAAATTTCTTTTTAAAAAAGCCCTCAGATGGCTGCGCCATCTGTAAGATATTACAGATGACACAACAGGGATGATGCCTAGTTAGGCATGATTGTGTCACTTGCTAGTGCACATGTGTTTAGCATGGGTTTTCATATAATGACAAACCAGGTTTATTATGGGTTGTCATTGAATCATAAGTTGTCATTACATGTGAGTCCTGCATTAGATCATTATCCCACCATTTCTTGTTGAGTTGTGAACTCTAGTGCTGGTCATGGTTAACATTTCATGATTAAACCATAATGCATGGTTTGTGCATAATGACAACTCCTGATTCAACAGTATTCTATAATACAATGTAAAACAACAGCCAGCAGCTTTACAGGTTTTTACAGACATCTTGCCCAACCATGCCTGGTGATGCCAGAGATTGAACCAGGGATCTTTTTCATTAAAAACTCTTCTGCATCACTAAATTGGATTCCTTCCATATTTTAAGCTGTGGCTTTTAATGTGGGCTGGGTAATTGTGATCCTTCGATTTCAGTCTAGTTTTAATTGCTTTCTCTCCTTTTCCTAGGGTCAAAATGAATACATATTTCAGCTGGATGTTGCTGAGAAGGTTGAAGATGTTGTTCATACCATTCACCAGGTGAAACTGTGGTTCAGCCGAATTGCAGGTGGCAGTAGCACATGATCTTGGCATATACAGAGGATAATAAATCTTTTCATGGTCAAAATTTTAAAGTCAATAGCTGGAGCAGTTTTATATTCAGAATGCAAGTTCTTCTCTTTCAGCAAAAATTGGACTGCCTTATTTTTTTCAAAGTCCAGTGTTAAAAACATGCTGCTCAGCCACTGGCCATAGGCCTGCAGGGATGCTTCCTGTGCATGGCATTTTGCATGGGAAAAGCTTTAATGTATGGCAGGGTCTCTTATCATTTCTAATAAATTCTGAAAGATAAAGCTGCTCAACAGTTTTAGGAGCAAATAAGCATTGCTGCTAACCTGAGAGTGGCATAGTGGTTGAACTGTTGGACTGGGACTGAAGAGATTTGGATTCTGGTCCCTACTCATTTATTAAGTTCACTGAGTGGCTTTGGGCCAGTTGTTGATCTGGTTTGCACGAACTAATCTACTGTAGGTTTTTCAAATCACAGTGCATGCTGGAAATGATTTCCATGATTGCTGGCTGGATGTGTTTTGTTGTGTTTCCACTTGGGAAGCATGGCTTGCTGAATGGGAAAACAACTCTCCAGTGGCTCACAGCACAGGCTACAGCTCTTGTAAGCTGTCCAGAAACTTTTAGTATTGGGATGGCATATAAAAACTTTAAATTAAATTAATAATTGATTTTCATGGTGTAAACCACCAGCCCACTGATTCTCAGCCTTACATGCTTTATAGGATTGTTGTGATGATAAGATGAAGAGGTGGAAGGGCATGCAAGTCACCCTGGATTCTTTGTAAGAGTGAGAGTAAAGGAAGGATCTGAATGTAATTTTAAAAACTGTGAAGCACAGTGACTTCTGACTCCTGTGGATGTGTAGGCACGCATTTCATAGTGATGCAGGTGTGCTAGTGGAAATGGATCTGGTGAAGGCTGTGGTACTTCTGATAGAAGTCTAGCCTATTTCTGTGGATCTTTAAGGACCTTAGGAACATATCTAAGAGATACTAAACTTAATCTGCTTGCTTTTATTTTAACAGTTGTACAGGGCATCTCACCTGGACAAGCTGGGAGACCAGGCTGCTATGGTAAATATACATTGTGGACACAATACTAATGGAACATAATTTCTTGTAGTGATCAAGTTAATCTTAGAAATCATAAGCACTGTTTATTCTTTTTTTTCCAAATTAGATAACTGCTATATTGCAATCGCGTTTGGCCAGGACAACATTTGATAAGAACAGGTTTGTTTCTTAAGTATTTTACACACATACACACTCTTACTTTTTCCTGTAAATAGTAATGGCATATTTAGACAGATATAAATCAATGAATTATCAATAGCAACCTATATAATCTGTCCACTTCCTTTAATGCTACCCCGAACAGTTATCAGATTTGCTCTAGCCAATTTCAAGATTTTTCAGGTTTTACACATTTACAGATTACTCACTATTGAATTCTGGAGTCACAGAGGCTATCCAAACTTGGCAAAAGTTAGATTTTAAGATACCTATGATGTTTTAAGGTTTCTTCCTTCTGGGATGAAATGGAACAATGTTCTTTCCTGTAGCATGGAGTTTCTCACCTGCCTCTAACTTGGGCTGAACCTCTTTGCAAAGTGCCATTTTTCAACTAACTAGACTTTGTGCTGTGCTGTGCTGAGCAGTGTTTGCAGGCTATAATGAATGATGGAATCAAACTATATATGGACAAGAAATAGAAAATTGACATGACTGTTGCCTTTCTAAAGTATATTTATAAATGTGAAGCAAGTATTGTGTTTACAACAGGATGAGAAACTATCTAACGTGAAGTTACGGCCTGTATTGAGCAGTTTGTTTGTTCTGTAGATTTCAGAATGTTTCAGAAATACTGCATATGGAATGTAAAGCTGAAATGGTTACTCCTTTGGTGACGAATCCAGGACATGTGTGCATCACTGATACAAACTTGTATTTCCAACCTCTTAATGGATATCCTGTAAGTAATTTGGAGTTAAATTTTCCTCCCCCTCTTCTGCTTCTTGAACCATAAACAAATTGCTGTCTAAAATGTCATCCATCACTCGGATTTGGACTGCATTCAAACTTATTTGTAATTTTTTCACCTAATTTCTATGAAAATTTGGCAAGGCCGTCATGCTACTTTCATATATGAGGAATTGCACATTATTGCAATAATACTGAAATAAAAGAGGTCATTGTACATATTTATAGTTTCCAATCTGGGAGAATCCACTTTCATGCCAAGTAGATAGTACTTCTTCATCACAGGCAGCTACTAAAAATTTCCTCCCTCTCCACTACATGCCTGAATATTTTGGCAGCCCTGTACCTCTACATTTCTTTGACTTGAGTTAGCAGTTGAAGTATTTTTCATGTTCTCCCCCTTACAATGTCTATTTCCAGATGTTCTAGTAATTAGAATGGCCTGCATGACCCAGTCAGTGACTGCTGGTCATGATGGCTGCCATGCTTAGATTCAGAAGCCATGTGCCTCTGCTTGTCAGTAGCTGAAAAACATGAGCAGGAAGCTGCTGTTGCTCTTTTATCTAAATGTGGGTTTCCCTGTAGCCATTTGATTGGTCACCATGAGGACAGAATGCTGGACTAATAGGCTGTTCCAGCAGGGCTCTTACATAGCAGAGTTTATAGTTCTGTGGGGGTTCTCAGCTTTCTTGGTTAATCACTGAAGTCCAGGGATCTTGACAGGATAGTAGCAAACTATATAACAACATAATAGTCATCTTTTTATGAAGAGTCATGGTTATGTCATCATCATCTTCAGTATCTGTAGTGAACTTCTCACTTTGGCCATTTGATCCAGTTGATTTCATTTTTGGGGGTGGGTTTCTAATGTCAGATTCACAGATCTCTGTATTGTGTAAGCAGTTGGCAACAACTTAGTCATAGGATAGATTCCCCCAAGCTTACAACCAGCTTGTCTATCCAGTCATTTTTTGGTCAGCCGTTCTTGGAATGCATGCTGGTGACTGAGTCATTACTAATGCTGCCATGGCCATGCTGATATGGTTTGATTTAAAAATGTAGCAAGTCATCACTTGCAAGTAAAACTTAGACCCTGCAGGGAAGTTGCGACTTTTGTAATGAGCAGGGAAGCCAGAGATACCATATCCTGTTCTGGTATTTCATAATTTAGTAACAATATATGGTATAACAATGATTTCAAACTGTATTGTTTGGAAATTTCTATTAATGTCAGCAATTCATAAATTGACTGTCATTGATTATTGTCTGTAATCCACCTAGGGAACCATGTGGCTAGTGGGCTGAGCTTAAAAATCTAATAAATAAAATAAACATGTTGTTCTTTTTCCTTTGCCCAACAGAAGCCTGTGGTTCAAGTAATGCTTCATAGTGTCAAGCGCATCTATAAAAGAAGACATGGCTTATTGCCCTTGGTAAGGTGATAATTTGATTTTGTCTCTTGGAACCACCAAAGTGCTACATGGTTTAAACTTGCCTGCTGAAATTCCTATAAAATTCCTGTTTTTCTTCCTCCTTTATACTATTGATGCAGTATGAATGGCTACTGCCATGCTGCTAATGTGAGAACCACTGGTAATGTGAAGACAGCAGCAACAATCAGGATACAAAAACTGCTCTGTTTGTATCCTGAATAGCAAAACTAGCCAGTGAATTTTACATGTTGCTTTTATCTCCCTTTTTAATTTCCAAGGGTCTAGAAGTATTTTGCACTGAGAATGATCTCTGTTCGGATATCTATTTGAAGTTCTACGACACCCAGGACCGTGATAATATCTATTTCTACGTGGCAACATATTTAGGTTTAAATAAACTCTCTCTCCTTTTTTTTTGCAAATTGTGTTGTTTAAGGAAAAAAATAAATCTGTTTCTTACTTTCAAACACCTGAGGGCAAGCTAGAAGTATATTCTGGTATAAATACTGAGTCACAATGAAATTAGCATTGACCAGAATAGGAGTTGCCTTTTGCCTTATAGAACATTCTCAGCACCTTAAAGCAGTAATTTATAGGATAAACAGAAGAAAGCAATTAGATGCTTAGAATTAGTCAGATATATAACATTGTATTTAGATGCAGTTTAATCATATTCCTTTTATCCCAAACATACAGGCTGTAAGTGCCACTGCTCATGTCAGAGTTGGGCAATTTTAGGAGGACCGGTGGCTGCATTTACCCTCTAAGAGCTGCACTTCCTCTGCCAACTCTGCATGGAATTTGGCAGCAAATCCCCTGCAGATTTCTCACTGATTTTTCCATGACAAAACACTACAGAATGCTCCAGTGGCCAAATTTAGCTTGAAAGCTTGACGGTGAAGCATCTGAGTGATTCGGCAGCAAATCAGTGAGTCGTTTATATTACAAATTTTGGCAGTGTAGGGTCTTCTGAGGGGCTGAGAAGGGGCCTCATGTGGTCACTTCTACTTACATATTCAAAACAGCACCAGCAGACCGCCCCCATCCCCCAGTGCACACACAAGGTAACTGCAAGGGTTGGGAATCCCTGCGGTTTGCAAAAATGCAAACCATCCTTGAAGATCTAGGAGAAAGTTCAACACAACCCAGTGAGGACTTAGTATGCTTAGAATGCCAAACTTGAGCAGGCACTTTTATGCCCTTGTGCCACTGAGAATTTCTGTCTCTCACTTTATGCCTTCCTTTCTCCCTCACTCTGTACTTCCTGCAGTTTCCATTTATGGCTGTTTTGAAGGTACTTGGGCAAAAAAGTGGGAGAGAATCCCTGGGTCTCCACTGGCATTTTCTATTTTTCTTCTTTTTTCCATTCATAGACATGTGTTCTGTATATAGAATAGGGCAAGACTGTATAGTGAATTCATGGGAAATAATTTCATCCACTTCTACACTTGGTAGCCAAGGAATAGTCTGTCTCAGTTCAGCCTGTTCAGTATGGATTAATTTAAAAATGTGCTTCTAAAAGAGTATAACTGCAAATTGCACTGACTTCTTATTTTCTGTTTCATTACTCTGATTCTCATAGAGAATCATCTTGCGGAGCACACACCAGAAAGTTACATGTTGCAGTGGCAACGAGGGCATATTTCAAATTACCAGTACCTCCTTCATCTCAACAATCTGGCTGATCGCAGCTGCAACGACCTATCCCAGTATCCTGTATTTCCGTGGATTATAGCTGATTATTCTAGTTCAGAACTGGGTAAGAATCCTCACAGGAAAATAGAATAATTATGATCCTGTAGCCTTGCATTTCAGAGTAAATTCAGTGGATGATACAGATCACAAGAATATAAGAAAAGACATGCCAAATGAGATCAAAAGGTGCAACAGCACCAGTATTCTGTTCACAAAGTGGCCAACAGCTGCCCACAGGAAACCCACAAGTAGGACATGAGTGTAACAGCATCCTCCCAATCTGGTTCCCCAGCAACTGGAGTACATAGTGATAGAGCTTCTGATGTTGCAGCTGTCAGGATGAATAGCCATTCATAGCCTTTTCCACAAATTTCTCCAGGTCCCTTCTGGAGCCATCCAAACTGATGGACATCACTAAAGCCTGTGGAAGTAAATTCGCAAATTGAACTAAATGCTGTGTTTAAGTAGTTCCTGTCATGTATTCTGAACTTCCCACTAGTTAGTCCTTGGATGACCCCAGGTTCTGACATTGGAAGAAGGAGAAAAATGTCTTCCTATCCACTTTCTCCACATAGTGTGCATGACCTTGTGCAACTTTATCATGTCTGCCCTGTTTATTTACCATTTTCCTAAGCCAAAGTCTCATACGTTGGTTCCTTAAAAATGTCCTGCGCATTCTGTGGTGCTAGAGATGACTTCTTATTCCCAGTACACTTTATTGTCTCCAGCTTGTATTTCCAAGGTGGATGTAGCATGTCACTGCATCATGAAGCAGTAACACACTGTTCAGTGCTTTGTGTAAGCTCCATATATGGGATATATTGCCTGTTCCATGTAAATTAGGCGTCGGAGACAAATACTGCTATCTAGTACAGTAGGGTTTCCCCAACCTTTTTGGTCTAGAGTGCACATTCAGAATTCTAAGAAGGTGGTATCAGTACCCTCAGAAGTGGCTGCCTTGTTATGTTTGATCAATAACAACACATCCATTTCCTAAAGGGGAGTTGCAGGAGTGAAGAGAGGTGGTAATGTGCCCAACAATTTAACTCCAAAGCAGTAGAATGGCTTTGTGTGTTGGCTCTAAAATGCCAAACCATTCTTTCAGACCAACACTTTTCTGTCCAACTCCTGTTTCATACAAGGAAGGTTGATATGGAGGAACTTCCTCAAATGCATTTTTATTAGTGCCAATGGGTGGACACTGTTGGATGCTCCCCAGTTCATTGCTGTGCAGTGGATATTGCTGTATGTTCCAATATACTAGACATTTTGTTTTATTCCATTTTGTGGGTAGACTTGACAAAGCCTGAAACATTTCGTGATCTCAGTAAGCCAGTGGGAGCCTTAAATAAAGAAAGGCTGGAGAGATTATTGGTATGTAGAAACAATGTTTTGAGTGTTACATGTTTAAATATACCACTTTGTGATTCATTTTAAGTTATGGCTGGTTATATAGTAACATTTGTAAATTAAATCTAAATATTTATAGAGTGGATAACTATATTTACTATTTTGCTTTGGTATATACTGAACCACTTAGGGAGTCTACATGTATCTACTGCTTAGTATATAAAATAAATACATAGAAAACCATTTGTGCATCAATTCTGCACTATTATCCAAAGCAGTTAACTATGCAGTGTGGAAAAAATAAGGACGGGGGGAAGCATCTGGACTCCCTGTAAATGCATTAAATGCATTTAAAAAAAGCCTTGACTGGAGGTGATCTGCTCAACTTTTGGAGTGTGCATTTTTGTTAAAATCCATTTGTTTACATTAATGTCAGGTAGATAAAGTGGTTGGCTTTTAGCTCTTGACTGGAATGTAGATACAGAGTTACAAAGAACTGCCAAAAGAAATCCCCACAAAAAAGCACCCTGTCCTGAGGACCTTACTGTCTGTCCTTGGATAGGAGCTGCTAAATGGGTGACAGAGATAACCATGGTATGTATACAAGCAAATACAGGGATGGAAGCATATTTATATGACAAAGGCTAAAAATGACATAGGATGTTGTTGCTTATTATCTAGATAGAATGGCATTTCATAATGTTTCAGTAATATCCAAGCTGCATGAGCAGCAGTGTTGTGTAGTATGTCTTTTGCTGGACTGTTTCACCTAAACTCTGAATATAAGGTCATTTCTTGGAATTGCATAGGTCTTACTTTTATCGTAAGAAAACGCTAGAAGAGGAGAGATCTCTAGCTTAGAAGCCGCCTCTATGACATGCTGGCTTTTACATGCAGGTTGTAGTGAATTGATAGGTCCTGCTTCCAAACGTGTTGAGGACCAGGCAGCAAATATAGGCTATTATCTGCTACCTAGATTTAGATGAAATAGACATTGCTGCAGTAGAGCAGATTTTGGAACTGAATCCTTTAATAGCCTGCAGTGGTTGCATGTGGCTCTGATACTAAGCTAGGAAAATAGTTATGGTACGGTAATAAAGATAAAAGAAAAAAATTAAAAATATAAACCACATCTGTGACCTGGACAGAAGGATATTAGCACTGAGCAGTCTCTCTCTCTTGCATTGACAGGCACGATATCAGGAAATGCCAGCACCAAAGTTTATGTATGGCAGCCACTACTCCTCCCCGGGTTATGTTCTGTTCTATCTTGTCAGAGTTGGTAAGATACCTGCACAGGTTCTCCTGAGCATGTGATAATGGTGCTTTAATAAAGCAGCATTATGTGATATCTAATCTCTCTTGTTTCCACAGCACCTGAGTACATGCTTTGTTTACAAAATGGCAAATTTGATCATCCAGACAGAATGTTCAATAGGTTAGTTTTAACTTTCCCTTCCAGATCCAACATCTTGCTTTAACATACTCGTATGACATATCTGCAACATGTTTAATTTTTGATTTATTTTATGTATTGTTATTGCCCAGCGTTGCAGAAACTTGGAAGAATTGTTTAGATGGAGCAACAGACTTCAAAGAAGTAAGTGGTCAGCTTGTCCCTCACCCTGTATTAAATGGCTTCACTTATTTCTCTTGGTTACTGAGATACTGCAGAATTGCATTTCACTACAGAATCCAGAGCCATATTTATATCTCAGAGACTTAACAGAACCTTTTTGGAGCACTGCATGGAAAAGGGCTGTAATTCAGTGGTCTGCAAATGGTCTGTTTAATCCCCATAATCTCCAATTAAAACAGCTTTCTCCAACCTGGTGCCCTCTTGGATGTTTTGGACCACAAAATTCCTAAACATTGGCGATGCTGGGTGGGACTGATGGAAGCTGTAAGCCTAAAATATCTGGAAGGGACCCAGTTGTGGAAAACTGAGTTAAAAGGATCAGGTAGCAGGTAGGGCAAGATTTCTTCTGTAAAACTGGAGTACAACTATCAGTCACTGATAATAGCTGGATGGACAATAGCTGGTCATAGTGGAAGAAAGCTGCTTATGAGTCAAATCTGGCAGGGTACCTTCATGATTGGAAAAGCTGTTCTGCCATTGTTTGTGTGTGCTGCTGCTTATGATGGCAGCTAAGCTAAGCCTTCTGAAGTATTGCAGGTTCACAGGGAGCAAGGTACCCAGAGTTCCAAACTGTATTACCGAATGTACAAGCAGAAGTGCAGTGGCATTGGAAGGTCAGAATCTAAGTGAATTTGCTGAACTATCAGCAGTTGAAACTGGCAATATAACTCATTCTCAGTTGTCGCTGGGCAGCATTACATATTACTGGTTGTTCAGAAAATATCAGAGAAAATGACAGCTACATGTCAGGTTTTCTTCTGTATAATAGTGTACAATTCTTCACTAGAAAATGAAGCCTTGTAGGGAACTGAAAATTCTGACATCCATAACCATTCTGGCATGTTGCAGAGAAGTAGAAAAGAACTTAACAGAGATGCTGTCTCTGGCAGGATCCTCATTCTGCCTGTAATATTCCAGTTGAGGGGTTGGATCCAGAAAAAATACCTAATGGTGTTCCATTCATCCTGGAGAAAGGCAGAGAAGCAGTCTTTGCTCTTCCTACTTCCCCTCTACTCCTGTAGAAAAGCCTGTTTGGGAGACCCTCCAGAGCAGCATGAGAGGTGTCATAGGGCTTCATGGGGATGGAGGAACTTACAGCTTGCCTGTTCCCCTCCTACAGCAGGGTGCCTCTACTAGATCCAGTGCCTTCCAAGAACAGAAGGAGAATCCTGATCCAGCCCTTGGACTATAGTGAGAATAAGGCAACCTACTATAGTGAGAATAAGGCAACCTTTATGTAGAATGATTATGTTGCACAGAGTTCTGGTTGGAGTCCAGTGTCAATCTTTGCTTGCATTTTGGCATTTTAAGCAATGGTTTATGCTTGGCAAGTAGGCCAAACCATCCAGTTCTGCCTGATCCATAATTTAAAAACAAAGCAAAATGCAGACAGATGTCCTTTGCAGCACAAAAGCTTCACTAATGTCCAGAATCCATCAGTACCTGCTGATGAATTCTGCTTAAAGGTTTTCTTTGATTACTCTGAATCTATTTCTTTGATACTTAGTAGGAATTGTTTTATACTAACTTTTGGCTTTCTCTTCCAGCAGCTTTTTAGAATTCACATAAAATGTCAGTACTACACTTGAAAGTAACTTCTATTTATTTCAGTAGAACAAATGAAGTATATGTGTACTTGGCCAAGAGTGAGTTTTGTCTTTCAGTGGGGTAACTCTTGTAACAGGTGTTAGATTTAGTCAGGCTTTGGGAACTTCATATAAATTAACTAAGCTGTTAATTTATATGAAAGCTTAGTAATATTTTCCCTATGCTATGTTTGGGAATCATCAATAAATGCTGGTCAGTGGTTATAAAATCAAAAGCATAACAGGGCCTCAATACTTTCAATACCTGTCCTGTATTTTTATGTTCCAGCTAATTCCTGAATTCTATGGAACAGATTCAAGTTTCTTGCTGAATAATCTGAAACTGGACTTGGGGAAGACACAAGGAGGAAAGATGGTCAACGATGTAGAACTACCCCCTTGGGCATCAGGTGAAGAAAGCTCTGGGTGCATTTAGTACTCTGGAGTCTACTTTTGCCTCTATTCTTCATCATGGCCTCTGTGCATCACCCACATGGGTGCTGCGCCTGCGCAGTGCCTAGTCTGGAAGATTAGAAAGCTAACAGTTTTTGGTGGGAAAACGCTCCGCTCCCCTCCCCCCTGCAGTATAAATTGAGCGGAGTGTCCACCATTTTACTCAGTCTCTGTGACCGCCGTTCGCTGTGCCTCGTGCCTGCTCGTCTCTCGCTTAGATCTCGCCACGTGCTCCTTTACGGTTATCTTGTTCAACTTACCATTTCCTCGTTATATATCCCAGTTTCTCTTTCCCTTGTTGTAGTTCCTCTGTTCATTCTTTCTCTAAAAAAAAAAAAAACCAAAACTATTACTTACCCTCTGTACTTTTCGCAATGGCACAGCGGCCGGCATTCCGCAAGTGTAGTGAGTGCAGCTCCAAAATGTCTCCCGTGGACCCGCACAACTTATGCCTCCTCTGCCTCAGCGAGGGGCATAGGACCAATAAGTGCAGGCATTGCCTGGCCTTTACCAAACAGGCCAGGAAGAATAGGGAGAATCGTCTCCACAAGTTACTTTGGGACCAGGCCTTGCTTCAATCTGACCAGCTGGTCTCAAGGCCTACCCCCTCCTCGGCTGCACTGCCTCAGCACTCCACCTCTACCCTGGCTGCGCCCCCTAAGCACCCTGCCTCAACTTCGGCCGTGCCGCCGCAGCACCCTTCGGATGAAGGTGCTGCTCCAACGGAAGCACAACAGCTACCTTCTCTCCAGCCAAACAAAAGGAGAAGCGTAAGCATTCAGAGCCGGAAAGGCCCTCCGGCCATAAGAATCCGAGGAAAGAAAAGGCAGCTAAGGCAGCCCACAAGGGCAAGAAACTGAATCGCCCCAAACACCCAGACTCGGGTTCGTTGGGGTTCTCGGTACCGACTGCCGCCATGGTACCAACTCCCTCGGGACCAGCCCTGCAGTCCGCAATGCAGGTGACGCTGCCGGGATCCCGCAGGCCTGTTCTTCGGCCTGAGAGTGTGTCTCCTTCACAGGAGCCACCACTTAGGGAGTCCATCTCTGATGGAGAAATTAGAGATTCCCCGCTGAGGCAACGCTCCCCGACGCCAATGCCTGCTGTTGGGCCACCTGAGAGGCCAGACTCTCCTCCTAGGCGTAGGAGCCGTTTGTCGGAGCGCCATGCAGATGACTGGGCTATGCACGGCTATGGTGGCTATCCTGCCTGGAGTGGACTCCATCCATATGCCTTTTTTCCTCCAGACCATCACTCACCGTCGATCCCGAGAGAGGCACCGTCCACTTCTGGCCGTACGGAACGCAGACCTCCACCATCTTCTGAAAGCTCTTCGTCCAGCGAGCATTATCACTACCATCAAGACTCGGATGAGTCGGAAGTAGTCTCCACATCTCCGGACGTGGCTATTACTTCCCAAGACCCAGGATCCCCGGATGAGCCCCATGTTTCTTTCTCGGAGCTGGTTTCTCATCTAGTCCGGTCGCTGGAGATAGAGGCCTACCACCACCCCGGGCCCAGCACAGAACGGTTTTATGACATCGTCCGAGGTGAGCAATCTGCCACCATTGCCTTACCATTGATTACCATGCTTCGCCAGGCAATGGTTCAACCCTGGGACCAACCGGCTCAGCCGCAGGCGATGTCTCACTGGTACGAATCTATGTACCGGGTCCAAGAAGATGACATCCCGTTCCTGCTGTGCCACCCAAAGCCTAATTCGGTGGTGGTCGAGTCGTCCCAGGGCAGGGAGGCTCAGGGACATACAACACCCCAAGATAAGGAAGGGAGGAAGGTCGACATGATTACGCACTGGGTCTACGCGGCTGCAGGACTCGGTTTGCGTATTTCAAATTATGAGGCTACACTGGCACGTTACCAGTACTTCATTATGCAGAAGCTGGAAAACGTCGTCTCCTCCCTCCTGGACCAGCAGGCAGACCTAGCCAAGGTCTTCTTAAACGAAGCGAAGCAGGTGGCCATTCAACTGTTGTCTACCGTGAGACATCACGTAGACACTGATTCTCGGGCCATGGTCAACACTATCTCCCTCCGACGACACGCATGGCTCAGGAACTGCAATTTCCCTGAGGAAATGAAGAGGAGGATAGAAGACATGCCTTTCGATGGCTCCAGTCGCTTCTACGCGAAGACCGATTGGAAACTCAAAGCCATCCACGAATCCTGTATGTCGGCGCGTTGAATGAAACTCCCACAAACAAAACATAAGTGGCCATGGTTCAGACCCTACGGGCGCCAGCAATATCAGCCTCGCCAGCCGTTCCACCAGCGCCAGCAACGTAGAAGGTAACAGCCTCAACAGCACTTCTCCCAGGGCTGTAGGCGGTTCGACACCGAGAAACGTCCCCATTGATGATCCTGGCGAACCAATTCATCTCTCCACCTCCCACCTTCCCCTCTCCCCTTTGGGAGTCGGCTCCAAAGCCAACTTCCCATTTGGGAGGCCATTACATCTGATAGGTGGGTGCTGTCCATCATTCAGCTCGGATATAGAATAGAATTCGACATCGTTCCACCATCGAGCCCTATCTGATTTACACCGCCATCTTCGGTTCTGTGTGATGAAGTCCTTCACCTTCTTCATAAGGGAGCGGTTCAATAACTCTCTCGCACTGATGGGCTACTCGGGTTCTATTCTAGATATTTTACAGTCCCCAAACAGGACAGTGGTCTTCGACCTATCCTGGATTTAAGAGGAGTCAATAGATATATCAAACCGAGGAAGTTCCGGATGACCACTTTACAGAATATTCTTCCATTGCTGAGGGAAGGGGATTGGTTCGCCTTATTGGACTTGAAGGATGCGTATTTTCATATTTCTATCCATCCTTCCCATAGAGGCTTCCTTCGTTTTACTGTCGGATCCGATATTTTCGAATTCAATGTTCTACCATTCGGACTGGCTACGGCACCGAGAGTCTTTACAAAGTGCATGGCCCCAGTTTGCGCCCACCTATGGCTCCGGGGTATACAGGTCTACCCCTATTTAGATGATTGGCTAATTGTGTCACGGACTAAAGACAACCTTTTAGCGGCTGTCCACATGACTTGTGCTTTACTTGATGACTTCGAACTCTGTATTAACCTTAAGAAATCGTCACTTATTCCTGCGCAGGTCATCGATTTCATCGGAGCACGTATCGACTCCACCCTGCAAAGAGCATTCCTTCCTCGCAGGGCCATCCTGTGTACACACATCCATCGGATTCAATGACAAAGGACAGTTCAAGCCATCACTATACAAAGATTGTTGGGACACATGGCAGCCTCAGTGGCCATTGTGCCGCACGTAAGGCTCAGGCTCCGCCTGCTCCAATTATTTTTCAACAACTTGTTCCATCCGCAGCGGGATCTACAAACCAAGCTTCTGCAGATTCCATCTTCGATCCTTCACACCCTGACGTGGTAGACTATTTCACGCAACCTATCTGTAGGCGTTCCGTTCCACCCACCCCAGCCGACAGTGACAGTGTACACCGATGCGTCTCTTATCGGATGGGGTGCAACATGTGTAGGACTGTGGGTCCAAGAGGCATGGACCCGACGGGAAGCGGTGAGGCATATCAACTTCCTCAAGCTTCTAGCGATTTTCAACGCTCTCAAATCTTTCAAAATCATCTTACACCGCCAAGTTGTACAGATTGCATCCGACAGTATAGCTGCTGTTTTCTACATCAACAAACGGGGCGGGACAAAGTCACCTCTCCTGGCCCATTTGTCAATGCAAATCTGGAACTGGTGCATTCCTCGGGACATCACGATACTGGCGGTTCATCTTGTGGGAACCGACAACGTAGAAGCCTACGTACTGAGCTGACAGATGTCAACTACCCGCGAATGGAAGTTGGATCGAGTGATTTGCAACCAGCTGTTCCAGTTATGGGGACAACCGGATATAGACTTGTTCACAACCCAGTCGAACAGGGTGTGCGAACTGTTCTGCTCCAGAGCGGGGCTGGGACTGGACTCAAGGGGAGATGCCCTAATGATCGACTGGAACAACCTGTTCTTCTACGTGTTCCCTCCAATCCCACTCCTCATGAAGGTAGTGTCAAAGATAGTGCACGACAACGCCACAGGAATTCTGAAAACCCCATGGTGGCCAAGGCAACCCTGGTTCCCCACTCTCCTCACTCAGTCCAGAGGAGTTTTTCAACGACTTCCACTTGTTCCTCATCTGTTAACACAGCGGGACAGTCCGACATCCGGACCTACTCTCGCTGAAACTAACAGCGTGGTGCTTCCGATAGATTTGAATTTTCTGTCGACTCCATTGCCGTCCCGATCGATGGAACCAACTCCTCCCTCGGAACCATCAAGGTCCATTTTGGGACCGATAGTGTTATCCTCGGATATCCAGGCAATTCTCGAATCTGCACTACGACCTTCCACACACAAAGCGTATTCAGCAAAGTGGAGAAGATTCTCTTCCTTTGCTAATGCCCGTTCCTTCTCACTGGAGTCGGCTTCAATCGAGAATATTTTGCAATTTCTATTCGACCTTCATCGCTCGGGACTCAAGCCTTCATCTATAAAGATCTATACGGCTGCTATCTTGCATTTTTGTGGCAGCATCCAGGAGTCATCTGTTTTTTCTCAACCCGATTCACCATTTCCTTAAAGGGCTACAAAATTTGCACCCGTCGGTTTGACCTGTTATGCCGACATGGAGTCTTTCTGTTGTACTTCAGGCCCTTACAAAACCTCCATTTGAACCTTTGGCAACGGTGGATTTACGCCTAGTTTCATGGAAAACTGCCTCCAGTTCTCCGAATGGACTCCGAGTTTCTTCCCAAGGTGGCTACACCGTTTCATTTGAACCAAGACATCGTCCTCCCTGCGTTTTTTCCATGTCCATCGACTCCGATTGAGCGCTCTCTCCATACGCTGGATGTTAGGCACTGTCTAGCCTTTTACAGGTCTTGCACAGAAGCATTCAGGAATTCCAATAGACTTTTTGTCAAGTATGCTGCTCATGACAAGGGCTCTCCAGTCTCATCTCAGCGACTGTCCAAATGGATTGTGCAGACCATAGTCCTAGCATATCAATTGGCAAAACTTGACTTACCCTCACTTCCGAGGGGGCATTCTATGCGAGCAGTAGCGACTTCGTCGGCCTTTGCAGCAGGGGTTCCAGTTCAGGATATTTGCAAGGCTGCAACTTGGGCTGCTCCATGTACTTTCGCCAAGCATTATTGACTTGATGTACATGCCAGAAGGGATTGTTCCTTTGGTAGAGCTGTGCTCTCTGCCATTCTTCACTGACAACACCTTCCCTCCTCCAAGTCTGGTAAGCTTGCTAATCACTCATATGTGTGACACACAGAGGCCACGACGAAGAAGAGCAGGTTGCTTACCTGTAACTGATGTTCTTCGAGTGGCCATCTGTGCATTCACACAACCCACCCACCGGCCCCGCATGGTGTCGATGAGTGGACTATTTTTTCTTACTGTCGGTTCCATGTTATTCCTACAGTACCGATTTTTCTTGCTGTGATGCTGTTTTTTTAACGTTAGAGGGTGAACGTCAGTCTTCAAGACTGAGTAAAATGGCGGACGCTCCACTCAATTTATACTGCAGCGGGGAGGGGAGCGGAGCGTTTTTCCACCAAAAACCAGTAGCTTTCTAATCTTCCGGCCTAGGCACTGCACAGGTGCAGCACCCATATGTGTGAATGCACAGATGGCCACCCGAAGAACTTCAATTACAGGTAAGCAACCTGCTCTTCTCAGAACCTTAGAAAAGCCTTCTGTCTTCCTGCATACTTCCAAAATAGTTCATCTTATAACTTAAAGGAATGCACTTTACTAAGAATAAGCTTCAGTAAGAATTCTTATTCTGAACAATGTTAAGAAATAATTCTGTTTTGTATTAAATGTCAACACTTTTAAGGGGTTTTCTCCCCAGCAAGTTAAAAAAATGGAATGATATGAGGAGGAAGGCGTGAAATTTATTCTAATTTAACAAGTACATATTGGTACCATCTGCTTCAGGTGCTGATGATTTCCTTCAGAATTGCCAAGATGCTTTAGAAAGCCAGTATGTGTCGGAACATCTCCATGAATGGATTGACTTAGTGTTTGGCTATAAACAGAAGGGGACTGAAGCCATTGACACTCATAATGGTAAATTCGAAAGTTATTTCTAAAAATGGCAAGTGATGCTCTTAAGTTTAAGCTCTGTAGTGATAATTTAAACTTTCTGTCATAAAGGAACACTGAATTTTAAGTGTAGACTATCTCACATAACAGTAAATCCTATTTCATTTCCATCATGTATTATAGGCTTGGTGCAAACCAATCTGAATATGTTTTAACAGCACAATTCTATATGTGGGATACTCAGAAGTCCTACTGTATCAACTGTCCAGTAAGGGTGCATAGGATTGCAAAACTTCATTGATTTTGATGATTTAAGCATAACCATAGGTGTCTCTAACTATATGTTTTACTTTGCTAGATCATGCCTTGATTAAAGTGAAACTGAGTTTTAAAAGTTAGTTTCTCTATTTCTGTCTTTAGAAGAAGGAAATAAATTTTCCAATTTGTATTTAGGAAGAAATAAAATAGTATGATTCCTCCTAGTCAAAGTGAGTAAACAATATGTATATTAAGGAACAGGATAGTAATTCAAGAAATCTTACAAATTTGAAGGAAGGATGTGTAGATTATCTTGAATTACAATCCTATTTCTTCAAATGCTCATGCCATTGTGTTTGTTTTTAATAACTTTAATACCTTGGCTTTAATTGTGCCGTACTGCTGTATAAACTGGCAGAGGAATGGCCTAAATATTTTGTAAAGCAAAATGCTTTGTGTTCAAAGCAGGTTTGGGGAGTCTTTTTATTGAAAGTCATATTGCCTTAGAGATAATGGATTGGTTTGCACAATGGCTTGTTACAGCCACTGAGTGTGCTGGGTGTGCACCAGCTGGATTTCCCTTATTATCCTCATGTACTTGCCATGTTAACTGAACCTGGGTGGCATGATTTATTTGGGGTGGGCAGCAACCTTCAAATACCCTGTTGCTGCTCAGCCCAAAAAGCTGTGCTGGTATGGTTAAATACAGAAATCTGGCTAGTAAGTGCAGTGTGGTGGCTATAACAAACCATGGTGTCTTGTTTGTCACCACACCATGATTGTGTGAATTGGGTCAGTGTGTTGTGGAGGGTACATGCTGATGGTAGACAGGGCCACCCCTTTCCTTGCTGGTCAGGTGGGCTTCCAGGAGAGGGACACACTGCCCTTGCCAGAAGACCAAATCGGACACTTACAGGACCTTGAGCTTAGATTGCTTATACTGAAGTTTTGACCCAATATGCATTATTTTAAATTTGCTATTTTGCTGCCCTTTCTCCCAATTTGGAGAGATCCCTTTGGAGCGCCTTATAGTCCCTTTTTATTTTAACCATATTAAATAGTTTGATGTCGTCAGCAAACCTGGACACTTCACTGCTTACTTTTAATTTAAGATAATTTTTGAGTAAGTTGAAAAACATTCCTCACGCAATCCCACTGTTTACATTCTTTAGGAAAAATTACCATTATTATCCTCTTCTTTCTAGTCTTTAACCAGTTACTGATCCATAAGAGGACCCCCTTCTTATTACTTACAGCTGCTGCCTGGAGCAGAAATGAGTTAAGAACTGTAAAGGTCTGAGAAGTGGTTCAAGTTCACATTAAAGGAGCAATGCTAATTTCCGCTCACCAAGAAGCCATGTAAAAATGGGCTGAAATTGTTCAAGTATTTTCAGTTACAGAAGTTTAAAACTGAAGCATGGGTTTTCTAGCTGGGAAAAAATTCCATCACTGGGCATTTATTTTTAAAGTATATTTTTAATCCCACTCTCAGCTGAAAAATGCTTCCAAAGCTACTTACATGCAATTGAGGAAACAAGACCGTCCTTGACTGCAGGCTTATGATTAAAAAAAACACACACACACCCTCCAAAGGCAAGGGTTTAGGGAGGGAAGAGGAAGAAATTAAGTAGTCTTGGTGCCAGACTGGTAAAACAGGCCTGCTTCCACCTCTTGCTTCTCTGTATAGCCTGGCAGAATGGCTGCTGGTGATAACAGCAGAGACCATAACTAAACAATGGAAGGAGCATTTGATTCAATCATTTGAAGGGGTTTAGATCACTGAGGCAGAAAGGCTGACTAGAGGTCTTTTAACATTGTTTTCAGGCATATATCCAAAGATAGCAATCAGTAGTTATGGGGCCTAGTTCTTTGGCAGGACAACCGTAGAACGATGTCTGCTTCTGAAAACAGAGTTGGGCTTGATTTCTTCCAACTTGTTTCCACCCATAGGAACTATTAAATAGAGGTTATTGCATTTACAGGATTGGCAATATAGCACTTGCGGCTGCCTTTTAACAGAACATGAAATTTTGCATACACTAATAAAGGAGTGCTGATTACTTTTTTAAGCTGTGCATATTTGTGTATGTGTTAGCATTTCATTCAGTGTAACAGACATTTACTTTGTATGAATGGACTCAAATAATGCTGTTATGAGAATGTACAGTGTTGTTGACCCAGAGTACTGGTACTACTTACAACCAATTTGTGTTTTCCCCCCCTCACTTTCTTTTAGTTTTTCATCCATTGACCTATGAAGGAGGAGTAGATTTGAACAGGTAACTGCATGTTGGTAAAGGAGGGGGCAGAAAGCTTTGTGGGGGAACTTTCTTTTGATCTGAAGAGTGTACTGTTTCTTTGCTTCCAATAGCAACCTTTTTAATGGTAATCATTATCTGTATCTCTTCAAAGAAGGGATCGTGATAAAATGCTGAATGTCAGTGTGACATCATATATATGAATAGTATGGGTTCTCCAGCTGTATATCAGTCATTTATGTAGTCAAAATAGCACCATTGATAGGCAAAAAGAAGATAATTGGCTGGTTTCAGAGTAGCCCCAGGTTTGCAAAAGTTAAAAGAATAGTTAGGGAAAGAAACCACCTTAGACACACTTGCAGTCCAGTGAAGGCCAAGTATGCTAAGTTTCCATAACATGCAGCCTGACTGTTGGTAACAGGGAACAATAAACTGGGAGTGGAGTGGTCTCTCCTGGAAGATGGCATGCGTGGCCTGAGCAGGGGAGTTCAGCACTGCGATTTTTTTCCCTTTGGTGGGCCCACATGTGGTTGCAGAATGGGATGCCCTGCAACATGAAGCTAATGACAACTAAGTGCTCTGTATGTTGCAAATATTCAGAGCTCAAAAGGGCGATGGGGGATGGAAAACTTCTCCAGTTTTAAAAAAAATGTGCTAGTAATACTGGACCTGATCAGATGTAATAGTCTTGTCTCCCTAATCCATGGTTCATGAAGCTGGTGTAGACACACACACACACACACACACACACACTTCTCATTGATACTCTTCTCCCATTGGGTGCCACATTGGCATGGAGGTCCTGGTTTATTTAAAATGGAGCTTCCAGTTGTATCCAAAATAAGAAACTGGTTTAAGCAACTCGATGGGTCTTTATGTTGAAGCTGGTTTACAAGAAGACATGGATGATGGGGAATCTGGGGAAAGTATGTACAAACTAACTTCTTTTCCTAAGCTGTGATGAGGGACAGTTGTGCAGCAGAAATAGGGTATAGCTAGATTAATGCAGCTACATGGATTTGGACTTTCCTTATGTTTGCAGCTATGGATATTTTCATGATGAATTTCAGACTGTACTATGGCATTACTGGTGATTGAGTAGCTTTAGTACTTGAAATTATTTGTATTATGATTCTGTTTTGGAATTGTAGGATCCACCAATTAAGATTAGATTTAATGCACACCATAAACAGGAAAAAGGAAAGTTCATGTATAGACATACAGAAGTCATCAGATACTTGAGCAACTGATATATGAAATTATTTGTGCACTAGTCAAGCGAATGCATTGTTCTAGTTCATACATGCTTTGACTGCAGTGGCATCTAAACAGGAGGTTAAAAGAAATAGTTCATGTGCCTGTCTTAATCTCAGTATTAGTTTAAGTAGTTCCATTTCTAGCAGGAAGATTGGGGGGGGGGGAAGCATAGTCTTGAAACCTCCAGGAGTTAATACCAAGTGGAATAGGTTGCACTAATCTAGATAAGCTTACATGGTATACTACAACTCCATATCTTCATATGTTTCTTTTTTCTCCTCCTCCTTCACCTTTTTCTCATGAAGAATTATGGACCCAAATGACAGAGTAGCTCTGCTAACACAAATCTTGGAGTTCGGGCAGACTCCAAAACAGTTGTTTACAACCCCTCATCCTCAAAGGATCATGATAAAGGTCAAAAGTTTATCTCGAACATCTAGCCGCAATCGTTCTGTGGCTGAATCTCCAGGTAAATCTTAGACATGGTGGTAACTCCCTGTATGTTATGTTTCAGCTCATTTGACTTCACCTCTGCTGCTTTGTGCACCAGGGTCAATATAAAATTTAAATGAATAAGCATATCATGGCATGCTTAAAATGCAGAATACTATTTGCTAGAGAATTCTGGCTTTCAGCTTGTAAAGAGTGAGGAAGGAGCCCTTATGGGGTGTTATCCTCTAAGGACTTTGCAATTCTGAAAAAATTATGTGGGATTAAGAGTTCTCTCTTCTATGGAGCACAGAGTTTTCTGATTGGATGTCTCACAAGTTACTGCTTCCTTTGAATTTTTGTGGCCCTACCTCTTGGTGTGGTTTTCCATGGTTTAGCGTTTTTTCTTACCTCCCTAAGTGTGGTGTAGCATTTAAGAGTGCTGGACTGGGACTTAAGGGTTCTGGATTCTAGTCTCCACTCAGCCATGGAGCAAAGTGGATAACTTTAGGCCAGCCATAGACTCTAAGCCCAACTCTTAGCAGAGAGTCTATCTTGGGGTTGTTGAGGATGAAATTGAGCGGAGGAAGAGGAGAATTATGTAAGTCACCTTCAGTTCCTTGAAAGGTAAAAAGGCAAGATATAAATATAAATAAATGCACGCTATTGGTTGGACTGATGCGGTATTGAGGGCAAAAACAAAAAGACAGTATGGCATGTGAAAAAGGCAGAATTATCTGTTTCCTGCATTATAGTTGGATTCCTATGTAAAATACATCCTTTTCTCCCTGGGGTTTCCATTGAACATTTTCTTGTTTGTCAGTCTCTCTAGGTGAAGAATCTTTTGAAGATCTGACAGAAGAAAGCCTTCTGCTTGCTTGGAACAACATGAGCAGATTAAAATTAGATGGGCAGTACAAGATTCACAAAGGGTAATCTCTGTAACATATAGAAAGGGGAGAGGTATTTAAATTGCAAGAGCAACATGCTTTGGAAGTAGCTGCAACAATGTGCAGCCTTGTTGGGAGTGGGGAAGGAATTCTCCTTTGAAGGTACTATTTGCAAAGACTGGATTATACCAGTGACCATTTTCAGGTTTGTTGCTACAGGTAAAAAAAACACCTGTAGCAGCAAACATTTAAAAATTAAAACAGTAAAAATTTAAACTGGAAATAATTATGCAAAACCTGCAACAAAGATTTGCTTCAAAAGACAGTGCTTGCACTGGAAGAGAGAGGTCTTGCAGGTAAAAGTGTACCTTAAGATGTTCAAGTGCAAGGCAGTTTGGAGCTTTAAAAATTAGAATGATACTTTGAACTGAGCCCAGAAACAATATGGTGCTGATAGTTAGCACTGTAGTTCTGGTTTAATTGTAGAAACACTATCAGCCAACAATAGTAATGTAGGAAGCTCCCATACACCAAGTCAGACCATTGGTCTATCTAGCTTAGTACTGTCAACAGTGCCTGGAAGCAGTTCTCCATGATTTTAAGCAAGGAACTTTTCCAGCCCTATCTGGAGATGTTGGAGTCTGAACCTGGGACCTTCTCATGCAAAGTAACTGTGGAGCCACAGTTCTTCCAAGGAAGTTCCCATGATCACTGCCAACTTCACCTTATCCCACCCATTCTGTGGAAAGTAGCATCACAAGCAGTAGACAACACTAAACCTGCTGTTGGACTTAAGCAATTTATGTAGATTTGTCTTGAGGACTTTCAGGGTGCAATACTCAACCTCCCACGCTTGGGAGTAAATGCCATTGAAGTCAGTGGGATGCACATCTGAGTTGCAGACATGCTTATGATAACACTTTCATGTTCTGGTGCAACATTGTTGTGTTTTAAACAGGACAATCACTGGAATTGCTGTGCCTTCCAGTTTCAACCAGTCTTCTATATTTACAACTTCTCAAGGTACTGTATCACTGAGTGTCTTTCAGCCTCAGTGGGGTGAAATATTTGCAGTGCTCAGCACAGAATGCCTTTTAGATTGACTTGGAGTGGGATCACATAGGTCTGTTATCTGTTAAAGTATGAACCAAGAGACTCCACAATGGGTTAGTAGGCACGACACAGCTAGCTCACAGTGCATTATTTAAGCCATAATGAGCTGCAAATTGGGCCAGGAGTATATGGCCACCATTTCTACTGCACCGTCCCTGCTTATAATGGGATCTTCTTCTTAGTCTCCATGCATAATTCATATGGGTGCTGCACCTGTGCAGTGCCTATGTTTGGGAAGAGTCTTCTAGCTAAGCCTAGAAATTTTGGCTGGATCCCCGCCCCCTCCCCATAATATAAATAGGCGGGCTCCCACCATTTTCTCAGTTCACTGTCAAACACAGTACAGGTTAAGCAAAGGTTGTTTAACTCAGAAAAATCCCACACTGATTGGGTTCTCACAGTAGTAGAAGTGGCCATAGCACGTGCCACAGGTCATTCTGGGTTAAATAATTTGCAATGAGTCAGCCGTGTCATGTGAACCAGATCATTGTATTTGATTTTCTTACAGTGGAATTTTTTTCAAGCAGTTTCCTAGAAACTTTGATGTTTAATATATGCTGTAGTTCTGAGGAAGTGCACAAAAAGTATAGAATATGATATGGTTGTAGAAGTTGGCTTCCAAACTAAATCTCCATTTCCTTTAGAACACATACACACACACACACACTCTCTATGCTTCTATCTCTGGTGGCTCTGAAGATATATCGAATAATTCATAGGCAGTCTGTGTTGAAATCTCAGAAGCTAGCAAGGTAGCAGAATAAGAAGTGAGAGTGATACATCAGTATATTTTGTTCTCCCCATGACAGACAAAACTCAGCGAAATGTATAAAATAATGAAATTATAGAATAAATTATGCAAAAATGAGAAAAACATATGTATGTTCTTTTTTACTAATACTGAATTCATTTTCTGAGTGCTGCTTCTTAAGAGGTCAAAACAGCATTATCCATGCTCAGGAGAGGTATCAGATGGCTTGTGGAAATCATGAGATTTGTAATAATGCAAAATACAAATGTTCTTTTTCTTTTTAAGGAAGGAACAGCATGCCTCAGAGTAAAGGGAACACAATGGATTTATCCAAAGTTAGTCGCATTAGGGTAGAGCTACTGAAATGAATGGAACTTCAGTCGGTTACGATTGAGGAAGGCTGTTCTAGCCCTTGTGCATCTTTGTGCAAAAATGCCAAAGCAGTTAGTTTCCTGTGCTGGTGGCAATTTTGATTCATGGTCAGTTTGACTGTTTGAAGAAGCTGTAAAATACCAATTGAGAATTGTTTCATTTTTCCCAATTTGTACTAGATTCAACATTGAAGATGTTTTCTGCAGAATCAAAAATGCTTCAGAGAAGTGTGTCCTTCTCAAATATGGTCAGTGTGTCCAGAAATTTTATATTTTGTCATTGCTCCTGCAGAGTGAGAAGAAAGTCTTAAATGTGCAATTACAAGCTTTCCCTTAGTGCATCTGAAGTTTGCCAAGTGTGCCAATACCTGCCTGCTTTTGCCTGCCAAATGGTTAGAGAGCCACTATTAATTCTTAACACACAGTAGTAACTATTTTGTACACCTACTAAATTGAATGACTAAGAAGGCAGCACTGAGCCTTCATAAATGAAAATCCAGAAGCCTATTTTTCTATGTTTTTAAGATGAACAGATTTTACTTCCAAGTTCTGGGCTACTCAGTATGGACTACTTACCATCAAACTAATTCAGTTTACTGATCATAAATATCAATTTGTGTAAGTTGTTACTTTAGTTTACTTTTGTTATTCCTTGGCAATCTCACATAGTAAATTTGTGTGTGTGTGTGTGTGTAGTACAGAATGTACTACATGGATAGGACTGAATCCAGATTCTGTCCCACATGATCAGCCAGAATGCTGCATAAGTGTAACAACCTTTTCTTTGATTGCATGAAAACTCGAGGGTCCTAATCTAGCATTCTAGTGCAATCCTATGACATTATAATCCTGCATAAATTTGTGCAACGTTTTCTGTGGTCTTATTTGCATGATGTTGCATGTTGTCACTCCAGGTCTTAGAACCACACAACCCATATGCATTAATCTTTTTTTTTTTTTTTAGCTTAGCATTTTACCCTTTGGTAAATGTCAATCCCTTAAGTTACAGGAGATCACTTTAAAATTAGTTTTCTAGGATACAAACCATGCTTGTTTGCATGCCTCATCATTAAACTGAGCACTGTCTTCTTTATGTCATAGGCCTTGTCATCCTGTTTAATTCTACCGGGTGATACTACTGTGGTATGTTCTTCATGGGACAACAATGTGTATGTGATTTCTACATGTATCTAAATGTAAAGTAGTATTTTAGCAATATTTTAATCTGGACTGAAACAGTAATGAGATAGGTGGATGGGAAGGGGCAGCAGTTTATGCTTCCTACTGCCTCACCATCTTTTGCCATCATGATTGGCCGGGTTTCCCTGACTGGTAGTGGCAGCTGATGTTGACTGCCTACTAGCCCACCATGCTTTTGCCACAACATGAAAATGGTCAGAGGGACCCTCTGAACCAATGCCTTATTCTGACTCATTGATCCTGAGAGCAGGGGAGTAAAATAGTGTGTTTTTAAAAGAATAGATAGAGGCGGGCAAGCAGCATGAAGCCTCACACCACCCCATCTTTTATATTATGATATAAAGGAAAGAAGAAAATAGTTTTCACGTGTGTGTGTGTGTGTGTGTGTGTGTGTGTGTGTGTGTGTGTGTGTGTGTATTAGGAAGCCCTATCTTAAAATGAACTTTTTAACATATGTGGATACACTAAATTAAATGTATACAACTATGCTATCTGAAATAAGCCTATTATGCAATATATTTATATTTCCCCCCCCCCCTTTTTAATTTCTGCTAGCTATTTCTATTCAATAGCCTTTGGAAGACAGCAGGACACCTTAATGGGCCATGATGATGCTGTCAGCAAGATCTGTTGGCACAATGACCGTTTATATTCTGCATCTTGGGATTCAACTGTAAAAGTAGGTATTCTTTACCTGTTATGGCTATTTTGTGGTAAGTCAATGCATTGTGATGGAAGCAAATAAATTACAGAGAGAGCTGTTTGGTAACTTTTAATATTTTTGTGTAAATAGATAATTTTGTGTAAATAGATAATATCTCTTCAGAGTTTCTGTTATGGTGCCAAAATTAAGTGAAATTACCATCAAATTGGCAGGGGAAGTAAGCAGAAAAAAGAAACAGTGACTTTTGCATCTTGTTTCTCCAGTTACATATTTTTTTTCCCTTGCAGGTACAAAATAACACAAATGAATGCACTGTATCTTCCACTTTGCACTATGCAACTGTCATATGGAAGCTATTTTAAAATAAACTCTGTGTGATGGCTGCTTCCTGCAGTGTTAGTAACATGTTGTACAGCTGGCCATATAGTCATTCTTACCCATGCCACTGCCAGGCATCCTTGGTAGAAAGTGGCATGGCATGTCTCCATAAAGTAGCATTAAAATGATGTGGAAAATGGATTTTCTCAAGTAGCTGCCAGTGTACAAAGGTTCCCCAGGCACATAGGTTGGATCACCTTGTTTAATTATCAGTTTTATATACTGGCAGTTGTACAGCCTTCACCAAACTGATGCCCCCCAGATGTGCTAAACATCCCCAGCCTGCTTGGATGATGGGAGTTGTCATTCAGCATATCTGGAATGTGTCGCATTAGGGAAGGCTGCAGTAATATGTGCTGTTGGTTTTAAAATGTTATATAATAGTATTTAATGACTAACTTATGGTTTTTATGAAAAGAACAAATATATACAATGAGAAAATCAACTACAGATTGGTTACTGCTTTCCATTGGCCTTGTGTATTACCAAAATTAACATTAATTGGAGAAGGAGAAGCTTATTTCCATCTCTAATGGGCATAGAACAATTTCAATATTTTTTGTTCTAGGTGTGGCATTGTGTTCCTGCTGAGTTGCTGGGCACTAGGAAACGATTTCAATTGCTTGCTGAACTGGAACATGATGTCAGTGTGAGTATGAAGATGTGTCTGCTTCTTGCTTGTGAAAGAATGGGCCTGTTTGCACATCATCACAGCCACTGCGAGTTACATGGGCTCTCATGTTGTGCCATACATTGACAGAGGTACCATTTCTGAATGGTGCCTGTGAGAGCTTGGCTTGTCATAGCTTCTCATGTTGTGTGAATCAAGTTGGGTAAAGCCTGTTTGAGGATTAGATAATCCCCAAGTAAGCCTAAAACAAGTCATGGTTATTTAAGGATTGTTTAAGCCCCCAAAAATGATGTCCTGGTGTAGTGCCACAAAGAACCGTCTGGAATCAGGCTCTCTTGTGCTCACTGAACTTCTGTCCTGCATTTGGCCTTTGCCTAGGAAGTGAACCAAGTCAAGAGCAAGCTCAGCAACACTGGGGAATGCTAGCAGGCCATTTCTTTGTGCTGAATTATCCTCGCCTGCAAGTCGTGTGGAAGCAGGACTCTGCTTCCCCAGTGGGTGTATGGGCAGCTGGTGGCATGTGTGCAAGCTGGCCTTGCTAGTTTTACCAAAGCAGCTTGTTGGACTTGTTTCCTGCCCAGACACCCATGCAAATTGTTGGCATGAGGTGGACTCAGGGAAGAGAGAAAGCAGCCTGGAGTCTGGGGTGGGGTGGGGAGCCAAGCAGACTTGACCAATTACAACTCCCAAACCAGATTTCTCACACATCACTATCTTCTGGCACTGGGCACAATGTGACAACGACTGTGCAGGTAAAGTAAGGATCATCATGTGAACTAGGCTGATATAGTGTTAAATTGTTGTAAGTCAAGCTTTAGCCTTTCTAGCTGAACTGTTTTGGAGGAGGAGAAATGGAAGGTAGGAAGGCCTCAGGCTCACTCTTATCCTAGCCCACCCTGTCTTCTCCATTTCCTGCCCACTGGAATCTTTCTGTAAAGCAGAGGAGGTCAGGGCTCCAATTCCTAGCTCTGAGGTTGGAATGCTATTTCTGAACTCAGTTCTGAGGATCTGAAATAACCTGTGGCCTCTCGGACACTGTCTGAGTACCCTAGGATTGTTTCCTTAAGTTGACCTTCTGTTCCCAGAAGTGACCGTGATACCATGGGCATTTCTTTTGGTGAAAGTTGATATTTGCCCATTTTTCCTTGCAGTTTCCAAGGCCTTCTTTAATGCTATTCAAGAGAGTAAATCAACCCTCCTGAGGAAAGGTCATAGGAGAATAAAACCAGCACTAAAACACTCTTTTCCTAAAATAGATTTTCATGGGGAATGTCTAGATGCCTTTTTAGATGCTTCCTTGACTTTCTCTTTTCATGGTGCTTGTATGAGCAAAGTGTAAATGTACTTGTACTTAATTATTTAGGTAAATACAATCAACATGAATGATGCATATACTCTACTAGCATCAGGAACAAAAGAAGGAACTATTAGTATCTGGGATGTTGCTACTGCCTCTATGTTGCATCAACTCCCATGCCATTCAGGAACTGTCTCTGAGGCTGCTTTTAGTCCTGGTATGTTGTATTCAGTTCTTTTCTAAAATGCAGGTACTGGGAAAGAAACAATTACAGCTAGCCAGTGTGTAAGTCAGTGCCACCACCTGAATCTTGATTCCTGGATCTAAAACATATAATTCTAGTGCAATCCTGTGCATGTTTATTCAGAGGTAAGCTCCACTGTGTTCAGTTATCAGTGCAGCTTCATAAAGGTCCAAATGAAAATGGTTACTAGCTTGGCTGGCAACATAGACCATTTTTGTCATTTTAGCTCGTGGAATCCTTTTTTGGTTTCAGGCAACCAATCACTTATTTCAGTTTACAAAAAACTTTCCTATAAGGGTCTCCCCCTCTCCCCACTTAAAATCATTTGTGTTGACCTGCCGTAGACAAGCAACAAATTGATAATTTCTAAGGTTAATTTAGTAGATAACTTCTTTTACCATCCAGCTAGTTGATTTTCTTGAAGATGAAAGAAGATGCTCTGGTACCTATGTTGTGGTTCATTCTTTATGCAAATGACAGTGTAGTATTGCTGTATATTAAATTTAACTACTGTATATTCAAGGGCTACGTCTATTGTATCCATGTATATGAGTGAGTTTTGAAATAGGGGACTACAGGTGTAATCCTGTGGACACCTAATACTGAGTAAGTCCCATTGAACTTGATAGATCCTATTAAAGTAAACATACATGGGGCTAGACTGCACTAAGGAGGAACAAGAATAATTATTTTTGATGCTTCAGTGTGTTTGAATTAAATACCCAGTTCAGGTATTTTGTTTTATAGATAGCCGGCATCTCCTAAGCATAGGAGAAGATGGTTACTTTAAAGTGACAGATGTGCAAACAGGAATGATTATCTCTTCTATGGCCTCAGAACAGCCTCAAAGGTGACATTACTATGTGGGAAGTTTTGGAGTAAATGTCTGTCTCTTGTAGGGATTTCTGGTGGAATTAGATTGTAAGTCAATTCTGATAAGAGTTTGGAGTCATTTTATCTAAGACCCACTTTAAATAGAGAAAATTGTAATTAAAATTTGTAAAATGTAGGTAATGTGGGCTTATATAAGAATATCTTACCTGAAGTGTTTCATACAGTTTTCACAACAAGCCTATAAGGTGGGCCAATAGGTTTAGTTCCTTAAGACCTTTCAGGGGGACATAACTGTGTTGTGTTTTGAACTAAGAAACTCTAGCTTATTCCTCCTGTGATTAAAACAAGTATTAGTATTTGAAAATTGTGCTCAAAACCTTCTGCATGGCATTCTGAGCTTGGGTAATTAAAGCGTAATAATGGGACTGAGCTTTATAAATTGGAGCCTGAAGTAGAAGCAAAAATCTAAGTCTTAGCAATTAGTGTGACTGCTAATTTCCATTTATGTTGCTTGATATCGTGTGCTTTAATTTTAAAAATGAGAGGTTTGTGGATAGCAGTGTAAGCCTTAAATGCTTAGTGGATGGTAGATTTCACTAGTGGATATATTAAGTGCTAGTTTGTAATTCAGGCGATCAATATATTACAAGGATATGCACCATAAACAATTCTACAAGGAAAATGGGAAGGATTTATAAATGGCTACTTTATAAAGTTCAGGCAATAGTAAGCATTATCTTTTTCCGAATTCTTAGCATACCTCTTTGAAACTAGATGCTGTATCTTTAAGATGATGGACACTCTTAAGCTTCTGTTCTGTTCCATGTACTCTAGGCATACCTTTCATTTTGATATTCACTCAGAGCTAGGCTTGAAACTAATGTATAGGCTTAGTGTATTAAGCAGCATCCCTGTACTGCAATATGTTTTTGCTAAACTTATTTTTGCAGATGCTTCAAGTGGGATGGAAATACTGTCTTATCAGGAAGCCATTCAGGAGAATTGCTTGTTTGGGATATAGTTGGAGGAAAGATAGTAGAAAGATTCTCAGGACATACAGGTGAGTATTTTTAAAATAACATTTACCTTAGCCACTTTAAAAATCTTTAAAGTAAGATACAGATAGGTTGATCCTAATGCTTGCTATGCCAAACAGTAGTGATTAGGGTAAGATACATTTTTTTTAGTAAATTCATATGTTGCAGTACTTTGCTAATATAACTTAATGTCTGTGAGGAGAGCTTTTTATATTTTTTATCCTTTTGCTAAGGTTTTGATTGGTCATGCTTAAATAAGACAAACTGAACACCAGAACTTACTTTTCAAAATGGAGGTTTTATAGGTGCTTGAATCTGTGAAAGCTTTTGAAGCTGAATGCCTTAATCCTGAAAGTTAATTGCAACTCTGACCTAATTTGCCCTGGATCAAGGCCTATTATACATCTGAAATCATCCTATAACTGCAATAGAGTGAGGACTGTATGTGTAATTGTTTAGGGTTAAATCTAACTATGTGATAAGGATGATCTCAACATAGTAAGCATTCTGTCATGTTTCTTCCTTAGGTGCTGTGACTTGTATGTGGATGAATGAGCATTGTAGCTCTATAATCACTGGAGGGGAAGACAGACAAATCATGTTCTGGAAACAGCAGTACTAAGTGCCTTCCCCCTCAAACATATCAATATTCAAAATATTTTAAACCAAACTTTTAAAAGGACTTTATGCACATGTAAAGATGCCTGCTGCTGCTCAGACAAGGAGCTTTGATTGTCTCTAGCTGAAAGCTCAGATGTTACAATGTCAAACCACAGTATGCACTTACTTGTTTATGGATGTAATTTCATCTTGGAATGTTTGCCCAAATACTTAACTGAAAATAAAAGACCTTATTTTTCTGTAATCAATGATATTCTAACTTGTGACCATGATAGTAATGAACAGTTAGTCAAAATGGACTATCTTTTTTCCCCTGAATTTAGTTTATTCATTAAAGACATCTCAAAGTCTTCCTATTCTATTAGATGGACGTATGTTTGACTGTATTCTTCCAGAGACCTCACTTAGAATGAACACATAATGGATTTACAAGAAAGTTTCTCTCCTTTAAAACCTATACTGGCTATTTTATCTAGGAAAGTAATTTCTAATAGGAACAAAAAGCCTCAAGATCTGTTAAAACACAAGCCATTAAGGTCTCTTAAAATTCTAAAGGTTCCTTAAGGAACCTTATCAGTATTTTTTCAGAAAGCAGGTGTTAACTAAAATGTCTGGATACAATAGATTGCCTGTTCCAATTAGTGTTCATCCTACTTACAGTTGATCCATTGAACTGGTTGTAAGAAGATAATTAGGTTTATGCCTTCCTTCCCTTCCTGATCAATAGCCAAAGCTTTTCAAGTGGTTTACACTAGTTGCTAAATCAGGACTGTAATTCACCTGAATACCATAAATTTTTTACTGAAACACAGAATTTAAAAACAATTTAAAGAAAAAAATGTAACAGCTGAAGTATATTTGATACGATGTAGACCTGTTAAAAGCAACTAATCTGGATGCTTCCATTAGGTTATTAAATATACTTCAATGTCTTTAAATGCATCAGTGTGGAGGGGTCTTGGCCTTCTTCTGAAAGGATGGTCGAGCAGGACCCAGGCAGGTGTCAGTGAAAAAATGGTTTCATAGTTGGGGCACTCAGGTGGGAGGAAAGCCTCATGTGTTTATTGCAGTGTTTGGATAGATTGTGGTTGGGAGCGGCATTGAGTACTGCAGCCTTAAACCATATAAAGCTTTAAAGGTTAACACTAGCACCTTCTTTGGCTGCAGCATACAGATAGGCAATGAAAGCAGGTCAAAACTGTTACATATTGAAACCTTCTGGTTCCACTTTACCAGTCTTACAGCTGCATTTTACACAAGCTACAGCTTCTGAGCAGTCATCAAGGGCAGTCCTATGCAGAGAGCATTGAAATAATCTAATTTAGCAATAAGCACAATGTACACTTCTAAAGCCAGGCTATCATTGCCCAGATAGGGATGTAGTTGGACTTCCAGCCAAAGCTGGTGAAACACTCCCCATGCCACTGAAACCTCAGCCTCCAGTGACTGAGGTTTAGTAGATATAAAGGACTTTCCAGAGTCAAGTACAGCTGGGTTAGGTTTTTTGGGCAGCCAGCACTGGGAGTTTCCCTTTTCCTTTGCTAGCAATGAAAGTTTCTCCCAGAGGCATGAGCCTCATTCCAGTCAAGAGCAAGCAGGAGTAACTGGTAATACAGTACCAATTCAGCTTATCTTCCCTGGAGTGTCCCAGTTGGCTTATTTGTGGCTGTAGGCCTAACTGGCTATAACTGCTGCCAGAGTTGTTACGAGTCAACCTTTTTTTAAAAAAAATGCTGGTATGGATTTCTTCATTACACTGTTTGAACACCAAATTGTGAGATCCATTTCTGCTGCTATGGCTTCAAATGTGTGTTGAGTAGTATTCTACAAAATCTGGCATCAAATGTCCTCCAAACAGCCGTTTCAATGGTGGACAACACATCCTGCTCTACCATAGCTGCAGCTTCATGGTCTTTTTCTAAACAAGCAGTCAATGCAGTCCACTCAACCATCTATGGCCAGTCTGGAAAAGGGTTCTGCAGTTCTTCCTTCTGCAGTATGGTTGTACATAAAGAACCTGCTTTAGCATCATGTGACAGCACTGGAAGAGCTCATGTGGGTCCTCACAATGACCACAAACAGTAAGTGTTTTTAAAACAATTTTAATGGCAGCGGCAATAGCAGCTGCTTCTGTACCTCAACTCCAGTTGTTTCCACAATATAGAAAACGAGTACTAGCAATCACGTATCTCCATGTTTTTGCTGTGAGGATAGGGGTTGAAGAAATTGGGGCTACTTGACACGTCCTGGTGTGCCTGGAATGGCAGAGGCAGAATAGAATGAGAAGTACCTGATTCTCTGAGGCCAGGAAACGGCAATCCCACTAGCAGTGGTATAGCTGGACATCATATCTTTGACCAAGCAAGATAATCATCAGTTTGTCATAGAATAGAATGGTGCATGCCACAAGCCCAGAGTGCTCGTTCTGAATTTTGCCTTCCTGAATCTTTTTCTTCTGGCCATCAACTGTTTCCTTGCACAAAGCTCCATACTATCATCTGTTCTGAAAATCAGCATTGTGCTTGGATTCCTGCAGATAATTGTGCTCCTCCGGAGCAACCATGACAGAACCATACTGTTCAGAGCTGCAAGCTACTTCAAAGTTGCTGTGTAGATTTACGCACAGCTGGCTCATAAGGGAAAGAAACACAAGATTACTAAGAAGTGAAGCAGCAAAAACTCTTTCATGGGGGATGGAAAATGTGGAATGCCAAGGAGGGATGGAAGCTGAAGAGCACTGTCTGTTGCTTGGCAGTGTTTGGGTAGCAAGGTAACTCACTAGGAATGGCACATTTTTTGGCCACTCTCACCAAGCAAGACTATTGTTCCTTTCAACAAACCACAATGAAACCATCCTGCCAGGTTCAGATAGCCAACAAAGCACCCTAGTAGGAAGTCTATACCCACAGTTCTCAGAATGGCTGGGGGGGGGGGCACACAGCAAACCCATGCTGAATTTGGACAACAATCCACCATAACTAATCACCCATGTGAGTTACTGTCATTTGAACCAGGTCAATCTTTTAATGCCAATTCCAGAATAACTAAACTTCATTTCTTTTCAGTAAAGTAACTTTATTATTCAGAAAGTCAAGGAATCGAGATCGTAATTAGATGGTGCAATCATAGCTTAGTTGCAACTGGGAAATCTAAAAGCCAGTTAACAATACTCTTTCCTCAAAAGTATGAAGCCATTAGTCAAGTTAAATGCTGGATTTACTACTCCAGAATTAGAGGGTCATCACTCCACCTAACAAAGATAATGCATCCTCCTCTCCAGCACACTCATTTGTACCAGATCACATTTTCAGCACTGGGGATTTTAAAGAGATTATAGTCAGTGTACTCTGCCATTTAAAGAATGTTTTTGCAACTGAATGATTTAAGATGATTAAGGCAACAGAATATAAGCATATTCAAATGACTTTGTAAGAGCAGTAAGACAAAACTAAATGTTCATGTGAATATCTTACTATTTAAAATATCTATGGAATGATAAATACTAGCTATGCTCAGCTTAACTGGCATGCTTTTGTAAACAAGATTTCTAGAACCAGTTAACTAACACTACAAGTCATAATTGTATATATTCTTGCAGAAAGAATAGTAGAAAAACTAATTTATCTGAAAAAGTACAAAGAGCAGCAATATACTTGAATCACAGATAGCAAATACTAACACTTGCAAGATACATTAGTTTTCCTTTTCAATGGCTTATAGAAAATGTTGATCTATACAATATAACCCTATGAAAAAGCATACAGCTTGTTTTATCAAGCTAATAAGGCTACAAAATTCAGTTTGAACAAGGTAATGTGTTGGATTTGACATTCCAAGCCATCAACATAATGCAAATGCTCAATGCAGCATTTCATCTTGGCTTTAAAGAAAGGCTCACGTGCAGAACATAACCATTGCAGAGTAAATAGTAGCCCATGTTTAGCAGTGTTTCCATCACAGAATCAATGCATCCAAAATAAGTTTTAAACTTCAGGGATAGTGTGATCCATTAGGCTTTTCATAATGCTTGAAGCCATCCTGGGAAAAAAGAACCATAAGTATTAACAGAATATGGAAAAGGCAGACATGGCAAAGCCACAGGAATACAAAGTATATCTGAGCAAAACACTTATGTCATCTTCCACATGTACAAAGTCCATATGTGCTTTGAACTCTCTCAATACTGAAACAATCTCTAATCTCTAAACAATTTCCTAATCTCTGTGTAGCAAAAAAGCTTAATTTGTTTTGACAAAAGCCTTCAACAGCTTATTATATTTATGTATAAATAAATATAAACTTCTTATAAAATATAAACTTCTATTGGTAACGGAGTGTAGTATTAGTATGTTCTTTGCTTGCATTACATGAATAAGGCTTATACCAAGTCAGACCAGTTCACTTTTAATATACCCTTGAAGAATGGGTGCATGCTTATATCTTACTAAAAGCAAGAGCACTTCAAAATGTAAAGGTTGCTGGAATTTTCCTGTTTTGAAATGTCTTTCCAAACTGTCACTCAAGTACTTCTATACACAAGTTCTCCACTAACTTAGCTACATTCCAATTTTATATTAGATTGCAAGTATGTTTTATACATTTGTTTTATCCTGGAGACAAAGTATGCTTAATCTGTTTGCCATCCTTTCCTTAGATGGGTTCTTTATTTACTGCACCCAAGTTACCTGAAATGAAATATTCAAGCATACCTCTTTATCATGTGTTCAAAAATCTGAGAAGGCATGATTGTGATGGTCACTACATTTCCAGCAGTTGTTAATATGTCTGCAACCTGGGAATCCTGTTAGATCAAAATATAACATCATCAATTCTGAGAATCTTGGAACTCATGAATTTTTGCAATAACTTTCATTGTTATCAATAAAGCTTGAGCTACACCAAGGTGCTAGATGTAGATGTTTTACATAAAATGTGCATACAAACAAAAATTATAGCTCACTTTAATCCCTTTAATTTAAAAATTGGACTACAGAAGTTAACCCAGCATAATTTAGCACTCTTTTGGCCACCTTTTAAATATTGCTACCCAGTAAACAGATATAGACTCACATTTGGAGCCTAGGTTATTCCCTATTCCTGCCATTATTATCATCCTGTTTTAAGGAGGATTATTAAAAGGACATTATTATACTCCTGTTACTACATCTTCAAGCCTAGCAGGAAAGTAGCTATATAGATAATGGGTTAGGCATATTTAGAACTAAAATCAAAGGGACTTCAGTTCTAAGTGAAGGTCAACTACATATATTTAATTCTGGAAGTAAATGTCACATATTCCCACTGTTAAGCATCAGAATATGCGACTCTGGTTATTTGCTTTTACTAGCCAGGAGGGTAAGAGACCAATTGATGAAGAAAACTTCAGCAACTAGAATGCTCTGCTAGACAAAGAGAACAAGAGACAGTATCCAAATCCTTCTCGTACTAAGTATTTCAGACTTTCATTGCGAGCCATCCAGAGATGCAGAGTGACTGGACAGCCTAGAAATATCGCAAATTAAATAAATTATTTTCTACAAGCCATGGGAAAGAGTATTATCTATCCTCTCCAAAACACAAGGTTTATATATACTTAAAGGAGACAAGCTACTTACCTTCAAGCCAATTACATTCTGTCCATTAATTTCACAGATGTTGTGTTCTGTCAGAAGTCCATTTCGAGCAGCCGAACTATCTTTAACTATTGAAGTTATCTTTCCATTTTTGAATATAAAGCCAACATGTCCTGTGCTGTCCTTGTGCATGGTAATAGTTCGTCCAAAGGGCCTGTATGAAAAATGTTTGGAACTCAATGTCTAGAATATTTACTAAATATAAATACATCACACAGCTATACAGGCTGATTAATTCTGTGTTAACTAGCCAAATGAGAAGACTGTTTTGATGTTTAACACACAGGATAAATGTACAAACGTTCATCAGAAATAGCCCTCTCCCTCCACAAATAATCATAAACAGAAATACATTTTTGGAACTGTTACCGGTCACGAATAATCATTGAAATTCTCTCTCCAGATGCTTGCTTCAGAACTTTATGGGCTTTATCAGAACTCCATCCAGCACAATTTTCTCCAGTGATTTGCAGAACCTGGTCCCCAAACCGCAAACCAGCCAGTGATGCTGGAGAGTTAGCCTGAACCAACTGAATAAATATACCCTAAACAAAAGACACAAGTGCATATTAAGATAAACCAAAAATCCTCTCTCTCTCTCTGTGTGCGCGTGCACGTGTGTGTGTGTATATATATATATACACACACAAAACATTTAAAATATGCAAGGCAATGCAGGAAGAACACAGCACTTGTGCAGTTTTTTTTTTTTTTTAAATGCTGTTGCTGTATCCTTTGTTTTGGTTTAATGAACATTTTTCTCGCTACAGCACGAAGTTCAGCCAATATTGGTCTCTCATCAGGATGTTCTGTTATCTGTGAAAAGGCTGCATTTCAGAATGCTAACAAGTTTTTGTCTTCTCATAAATGTAATGCAATAAACTATTTAAAATGTGATGCCTCCCTTACAGAAGTAATTTATATTAAAACATTAAAGGTTAAATAGATAGCATGCTAGGTTAATTACTGAAGATCATGTAGTAAATTAACAAAGAATTAAGAAAACTGTGAAGCACAAGAAATTCAGCAAAATCTGAAAGGATGTGACTTGATTAGTGAATCTATAGCATCTTGTATATTTTCTGCCCTTGACTGCTGATGTTAATGGGTCAGCATAGCATACAGGACATCAAACATACATTATCCACTGATTTGAGGCGAAGACCAATTTTTCCATCCTGATCTTTACACAAGATTACTTCACGAATCCCTTGCTTAATTTCTGCTCTACGAAGTCCAACATCATTTCCAGTTACTGGAGCCACCATGTAATTCATTGCAGAAGGTCTTGCAACAACCTGAAGAATACAAAACATATGTAAACAGATTAAAAACAATGGCAGAGTCAAATCTCATTTACAAGCCTTTGATTTAAAAGAGACAGATTAATGAAAGAGAGATTCCAAGACAACTTCTGAGCAACTACAACAGTCACAGGATGGCAGTTAATTTCATCTGGGTACACTAATTCATTGTTTTAACAAAGCACTCTGCAGTGGAAAGAGGTACTTCTCCATAAGAGGGGTATTTCTGTTCTTGCTTTTTCAGAATGCTAAAGAAGGAAAAAGCCTCATGAGAAAAATCATTATCAGAAGTTAACATCTTATGCTGAAAAAGCACTACATTCCTCAAAACTCAAGAAAAAATCTGCTCATTTGGCTGATACCTACCCCCTGAGAATAAGCAGCAGGAACCACTGCCAAGTTTCTTTGTATCTCCTCTTCATTCAAGCTTAGACCCATATATTGGGAAAGTTCAGGATACAACTTGGGATATAAGTCTACAGAAAGTTAAAAAAATAAAGTATTAACTATTACCAACATCATCTTTATTAGCTAAGGCCTGCTAAAACAGAATGTGTCACCATATGAAAATGGTGAAATCAAGAGCAAGTCTCAGTCTTGAGTAATCCTATTCCTCCCTTAGAACATGTAAAAAGTTACAGCTACACTTGAAGATATTGTATTTACTTACATAAAGTTCATTCAGATCCCTGCAAAGTATATCTTTAGTTATATAGGTCTTGTCTATGGTAGCTGGAACAGGAAAATTAATTGGCAGCTAGAACGGGAAAATTAAAGTATGGAACTGATGCCATATTATCCCATTCCTGAGCATTCTCACATTCCAAAATGATTACATAAGAACTCAGTTTAAATCACTGTACAGCATATGTTTACATACCCCCTCACAAACTATTCCCAGCAAAGATTGAGAAACTTATTACAATTTTATGCAGCAAATAAAGCAGCATAGTATTTTCAAGCTATAAAGAACAATAATTTTATCAGGCTTGTTATTTTTTTAAGAATTAAAACCTGTATAGTTTCTTTGCTATGAAATAATGTCAAAAAATCACCATTTAAAAACTGCTTTAGCTATATCCCACCCGGTCTTCTTGCAATCCTTGTTCACTCTTGAATCCTTGGGAAGCAGATATAAAGTTGGAGTGTGTAAATTAAGGGTTTCCAGATTTTCAACTCAAGGGCCAAATTCAATTTCAGAAATGTGTTGCATCACAGTTGTGAAAAGCACAAGCCAGGCCCAAACTACTAAACTATTTTAGTTTAACACTCTTTAAGAGAGGCATTTCAACCTTTTCAAACAGAATAACTATTAACAGTCAGGAAACCACCAACATGTTCCATGACAGTGATGGTGACAAGAGTTCCTTTCCTCAGTGATCTTTTCAGTGTCCTGAGAAGAGCTTTTTCCAAACGATTCATGGCCATTCAACTAGTAGGCCACGAAGAGTAACATTAAAAGATAGAATCACTTGGATCCACAATTGCAATTAATTTAGTTCCACTAGGACAGATGCCCACAGTACCATCTGGTTCAGTTTTCCTGGACAAGTTTCAAATTGTTGAGACTCGAGGATCTAGACAAAGTGCAGGGCCAGATCTAGTTGAGGACCCATGTGCATGACCCTTGTCCTTTATGACTTATTACATTTCACAAAGAGATGTCTGGATCAGTACAGGTGGTTATAAATTTCTTAACAGAGGAGTGATACCCAATTCTTGAAAGGATCTGGTAATTAAAAGAAACCTAAAACCTAAAAGAAACCTAACCTATTCCTAGATAATGCTAACAACTCTATCTCCTTCTTGGGCAATGTGCATGAACGGGTGGTTGCTGGTAAACTCCAGGCACCTTTACTGAAACAGATTATCTATAGCCACTTTGATTTAGCTCCTTAGCTAAATCTCTTTGGAGACATTTTAGTCTTTCAGTTTAGTTTAAGTCTGTTACTGACTGGGTCCAGACATGACAACACACATTCAAGGATGAGGTATGAGTTGAGCATGGGATGTTGTTGAACTGTGGGATGTTGCTGAAACATGATAAATCCAGCTAAGCTAACAAACCATGTTGTGTAAATTCAGCTAGGCTAACAAACCACGGTTGATTAATTGCAAACAATCCATAAAGAGAACGCGTATCTTCTTGTAAGGTTCTGAACTATCGGTTGTTTACCTAGAGGCTGACTAATTTCTTAGGGCACCTGGATCTGACAAAACAGTAACTAACACATGCCACTGTATTTTAAATCTTGTATTGCTGCTAAGTCTTATTTTATTTTGTATTATAGTTTAAAAATTTTAGAGTATATATTTTACAGTTTTAACTGCTGCAAAAAAAACCTCCAGCTATTAGGCAGAATGGAAACCCTAATAAATATGCCACTCTGTTAAGCATTGTCCAATTAAAATTTGTGAAAACTGAGTTTTCTGTCCTTTGGATTTTTCATCTAGCCTTGTTAAGGGAATTGAAGAGTATATTTTCAGGAAATACGTATTTTGTTCCCCATACTCAAAGGTCTTACATTTTTCCACACTATAACGACTTACTTCCATCTTGGAGGATGGGAGCTGAGGCTTCTGATAAAATTGCTGGATTGGCTGGATTTGAAGCAAAAGATGTCTGGGCCTACACAAGGAAGAAGTAAAACATACTTTATGGATTTTATTTAAGATGAAGAAAATATAGCGATCTCATCTCATTTGGCCATGCATAGCATATGGTTAAATCAAGTTTGGGTTATATGAGCATCTAAATCAATTTCATTTTAACTACACAAGACAAACTTGGCTTAAAAGGACTATGTCTCCAAGGGCTTAACTAAATGTAATATAGGAGAGCCACAATAAATATTACTCAGTTGTTTCTTTCAGAGTGACCAGGTTGGATTTTAATTTGAACAAATGGTGTCAGGGAACAATCTTAACCATCCACCCCCCATAATGCTTCCCCAATCACACAAAAAACTCTATAGGAGATATTAGTCTTAGACCTTCCTCCATATCACATCCACTTTGGCCCTAAATACTATTACATATCAGCCCTATCTTATCCTTAAAGTTCTGCTTGATATTATAAAGTCCCAGATGTAGGATTTGCCTACTGGGCAGCTAAAGTATCATTCATTAGTGCTGTTCAGTGATTGCTAATAGCTGGTCCTAAGAATATGTTCATGGCACTCCATGTAGCATCCTAGGTGCCTTATTAGCAGCCAATGTTCATGTACAACTCTGTATTATGGTACAAGCATTTAAGGAATATACACTGTAAGCTCAACAAAAATAGATGACTATATGTGGCTTGCCAGACAATGAACAGGCAATTCAGAGTACAGCTGCTATAGTCACAGTACTGCATCACTAGTCAATCTGTAGGATCAAGCTGATCAACAAGAACTACCAATTTTGCACATGAAATACAGAATTTCTGAATTTAGAAATTTTTATTATAAAAAATTAATTTTTATTTTCCCAGCATATACAATTACATAGAAAAAATACAGAGCTAAGGAAAAACTAACATAAACAAAACAGCTAAAGTGAACAAAATTAAGCAAATTGCCAAGGGAATTACAAACAACATAACCCATATACTACAGCCCCCAGAGCTAACTCTTCATATCTTCCCAAGCTCTATAAGAGTTTGCAAAAAAGAAAAAAGATTCATTATTCTATACATCAACAGATTTTCTAACCAGTTCAAATTCTAATGCTTTCCTTTTTCCCTTCCAATCTTCCATGGACTTTTATTAATCATGCTAAGCATGATAAAATTTCCATTTGTCATTAAATTCCTCTAACGGTCTTCTATTTACATACTTAGTTAGCTTTGCCATCACTGCATATTCTGCTAATCTATTTCTCCATTGGGGGCTCCAGTATTTTCATGAATTTAGGAATTTTTTACAGGCTAACCAAGTTTCAAAGATCGATAAATTCCTCTTCCAACTGAAATTCTAAGAATAATTGGGAACAAAAGCTTTTACCTTTTAACAAATATAATATTTCCCCATCAAATATATTTTGACATACCTGAATTACTTTGTCCACCTTCAAATCTTCCAGAGAAGGATACAGTGACATTTTCACACAATTTCACTAGAGGAAAAATAGATATATAAGAGTCATAAAGTATACCATCTGAATGTTCATGCTCATTTAGGATACAGCTGCATTTGGGATTAAACCTTTTACATTTCTCTATATTTGTCCAATATTGAATAATTCTACAAGTCGTATCTGTGTACATGAAAATTACAGCACCATCCTAGCACTGTTCACTCAGAAGTAAGTTCAAATATTATCAAACAGGGCTTACTACTGGGCAAGAATCTCTATCATGAATAATAATCTTTTTTTTCCAGATTTAGACTACAACTGCCTAATGAGTGATCGCTAAGATTATCTGAGTTGTAGTTTCAAACATCCGAAAGGTACCACACTTCCTGCTGTCTCTGTATTAACCAATGTGCTCAGGTTAGTAGAGCAAACAAGGTTGTATTGTTTCTGGGACACTCCTTCACAGGTGTGTACTGTGCATACACTTAAATGGATCAAGTCCCCATATATTTAGCCTGAGGCAAACCACCAAACCCAAAATAGTAGGAAAACTGTCCTGTGACCTGAAAACATGTCCTTAAATGTTAAAGAAATTTCCAAAACTGTATCCATTGAAATATACAAGCTTTCAATAGGAAGGAAAAAAATCAGTAGTGTTGGATGCTGGTTCATTTCATGAACAAAAATATCTTTCATAATTATCAGTCATGACTAATTCTCCTGCTTTGCAAGGAAAGATAATAAAAAGAACATCTGGGAGGCTGAAATTAATGCTCTCTGCTGCATGCCCAACACATTTAGCTGATATCTAATGATCTCTCTCTTCTCATTAGTGAGGAAGATACTTTTGCTTTTTGAAATCAAGTAACCCAAGAATGGATGGTGGAGGACAGGAAGGCCTGGAAGAGTGTTGTCCATGGGGTCGCAATAGGTCGGATGCAACTTAGCAACTAGCAACAACAACCCAAGAATTATATCTGTCTAAAGAAGTAACTGATAATTGCACAAGATATTTGTGCCTTAAAAGGCTAGCACAATTATCAGTGAAATTTCTGCTATTTTTCCTTTCTACCAAAGACCTGTATGTAGGTTCTCACTATCCGACTTAAAAAGTAGTCCAAGTTTTCACTGTGTGAAATTATGGATCTGCCTATTCCCACCCCATTATCCTCACAGGAAAAGCCATTTTCAATGGAATTAGGAGTGACAAATACAGAAGTACCAGTACCAGAACCTTCTCCTCCATTTCTTTCAACCTTTATTTTCCCTTAGCTAACTGGGTGTGGTTGACTTATTCCCTTCTCTCTAGGTCTAAGTGCACAAAAAAAGACATACAACCTTCACACCTTACAAAAAATCCATCTGATCAGGAGTAGAATACTTGCTGGCTGGCTTATTTGTGTTCACAACACAACAATGCCTTCTTGGGGGGGGGGGGGCAGTAATTCCTCTCATGAGCTCAGGTATAGTGAAGTTAAGAAAGAACAGGAAAATTATTCCAAAAATCATTTTTAAAAAAAGTTAAAACATTTGCACTCAAAATATTCTTGCTATTATATATTAAGTTGACATATATCATATGTCAACTTAACTTGAAGAAAAAAGTAATTTTTTCACTTAAAAGTCAAGCTGTTAAAATATTTCAGGATTAACATGTAACCAAGGAAATGTTTGGCACCTGGCCAGAGCTTTGGTCACTGCAAGAACACAAACCCATATACAGTGGTACCTTGGAACTTAATACATTCCAGGACTCTGGTCATGACCCAAATTGATTGTGAGCCAAGTCAAATTTCCCCATAAGGTTCAATGTGAATAAGATTTAAAAAATAGTTACAGAATGGATTAATCACAAAAATTTGAAGCAAAGTGACAAAGAACAACAAAGATCGTGGCCATCTCCCCCTCCCCCCCCAACACTCCAAACACGGCCATCTCCTCCTCCAGCAAGATCGCGATCATGCCCGTCTTCCCTGCACGAGCACAACTGCAGCCATAGATGGGCGCGATCATGAGCATGCTGTGGTGGGAGACGGGCGCAATCACAGGCGTGCTGTGGTGACGGACGAGCATAATTGCGATCGTCACCCGATGGGGAGTTTGTGACCTGAGGCAAAATTTTTCAGAAATTTCTGTTTGCAACCTGATTTGGTTGTGAACTGAAGCGTTTGTGAGCCGAGGTACCACTGTATTGAAGGAGATCAAAATCCTCAATGATTTGCCATTACTGTATTTTGCTACTCTCCAGAGGGAAGCTACCTCTGCTAATGCAGACATACAGACTTTGCTTAATCCTTTTGTCTGTTTTGCGGACTGACCAGTGTTTTGTGGAATCCTACTGCACTGAATATTAATTGATGAAATCTGATTTTTAAATCAGAATTTTCTCCTACTTGCACTGATTTGCATTAATGTGAACTCTTGCACATTAGTTAATACAAATTAACATTAATTCAAATAAGCACGTATGTCTCCCAAGCCATAAGTTAAAAATATTCTACAGGTCTGTGGAATCACTCTTGGACAAGTAATCTCAGATGTTGCAGTCTGCAAGAATAGAATCACATGGAGTAAGAAAGCAGTACAGTGGTGTGCCTTGTGTAATAGAAATAGCTCAGAATATTTGCTACAGAACAGGGGTTTCACATAAAAGGAGGTGAAAAAATAAGCTATTTTTCCTGCTGCTAGAAAATAATTGAATATATGGAGAACAAACCCCAAATCCATATATTTTAAGGCACTTCCTAGCCATTCACCTAATTCAGATAATTTGTAACTCATCCAAAGGTTGCAATCAATTTAAAAAAAAAGTCTAATGAATTGCACTGTTAAGTTTCCCTGCTCATCCTTTTTTTCCTTTTGTGAGGCATATCTTAGACAATATATGCCCTGTAGGTGCCACATTTAAATGAATACTTATTTGGATACCTAGTCTACGTTTGTTCACACACACACCCACACACTTTATATGTATTCACTGATATGGAGAGATATACAATTCATATTTATTTATTTATTTATTTTAAATAAATTTTTATTTTTATATTGTTATTATTAATGTATTTATGTATTTTGTTTCTGTTGTGAGCCGCCCCGAGGCTTCGTTGCGATGGGGGCAGCATAAAAATGTTTTAAATAAATAAATAAATATGCAAATTTTTAAAACACTTAAAAGGGAAATCAAGCTTGAGGGATCTGAGACATCCCAGGGTGTTTCAATGATTCTTTTAAACTGTCTTAAGAGCTTTTTTGGCAGGAGAGCAGGGCAAAAATGCTTAAAATCAGTGGTGGGCAACTTGTAGCCCAAACATTGTGGAAGGCCACAATTCCCATTATTCCTTATCACTGACTGTTGGTTAGGAATAATGGCAGTCAAAAGGCCAAAACATGTGGAGGTCACGAATTGTCCACCTCTGCTTTAAGTAGAGAATGAAGCAAGGATGAAGCACACCAAAACTCACTAATCTTAGGAGCATTCATCCTATACAAGCAGAAAATGACATCAAGAATTCACCCAGAAACACCAGGCACTGGCTCAAATGCTTATTGTCTTACTAGAGGAAGGGTCTTCAAGCCCTCTCTCCAGCAATCCACCAAAACCTCTAGGGAGACACTGCCCCCTTGTCCAGTTCCAGCAACTGAACTTGTTCCATCAGTGGAAAGAGAAGCACTGGATTCCACCTATTATACGGAATGAAAGCCACATCTGTCCAAAGCAAGTAGTGCACTTTGGACAGTACAAACTAATTGCAAAAGCCACTTTTGAAATATTTAATATAAACAAACAGAATGAGGCCAAGCAGAATGAAGTCTGTTATCAACTGTTACCAACAGAATGATCTTCAAAACAGAATTAAAAATGCAAATCTATTACAGGCAACTAATTTCTCTGACAATGCACAATTTTAAAAATGTCCATCTTCAAAACCATTCTTCCCCAGCATGGAGGAAAAAATATCAGCCAACATACTAATTGCCTTCCCCCACCACTGTGTGTGTATTTGTTTCATCTAGATTTACATTTGGAAATACCAACATGGGATCTCTAAAGCTGCAATTCTGAGCAACTTAACAGTGTGAATCTCAAGACTTACTTCCAAATAAAACATGCACACGATTATCTAAGTAGCATATAATAAACCTATTAACATACATTCAGAAGCTACAATATACAGTAATAGCTGGATCTCTCTCTCTCTCTCTCTCTCACGTACTAAGAAAAACAGAAAATTCACCGTGCCGGCCACAAAATCAGAATTACCTCCTTCTCCCACCGTTAAAGTAAACATCCGATGTAACGAAACTGAAATAACCGAGGCTTCTCTCCTTCGTCCTCTCATTCTCCCGTCAAAGCACTGCAGTGCGTCCCGTTTCCCCAACCCGTTTCCTTACGGTGTTATTTACAACAGACAGCCTCCAGCTCAATCGCCCCGTTTTCCTTCCTCCATCACTCAAGTCTTAGCCGCCCCCGCCCCGCGCTGAGAAAAGCCAACCGAAGCGCGTTACCAGCTTCCCAGAACCTCACCCCACCCCGCCCCGCAGGGTCACTCCAACGTCTGGGAGCTCGGCCAGCTCGCTCCCCTCCTCCTTCCAAGGACTCAGAAGAGGGGCTCTGCTTCCCGCCCAACTTTCCCGCCCCGCCCCCCAATCGAGGAGGGAGGAAACGGGCCCACAAACCAGGGCGCGGCCCTTGTCGGGTTCCAAGACGCAGTTCCGCGTGAACGTGTGAAATGACACCCGTGGCGTGCCTCTGGGCATAACAGCGTGCGCTCCCCTTGCGTCGAGGGACGGCAACCCAGGCCGCTCTGCCGGGTCAAGAGACATTCTTTGCCTGGCTCCGTCCCTCGGAGTCCCCCCCCCCATTGAAGGAATGAGGAAATTCCCTCTCACACCGTCCAAGGCCGCCGATTTAGGAAATTCGTCCCGGCCAGCTCCGTTTCGGCCTGCCCTGCTTTCTTTCGTACCGGCCCCGGAGGTACAAGATGCTCACCGAACGAGGCGACGGCTTCAACTCCCGGACCGTTAAGGGCAGTGGCGACTCTGAAGACAAGGCTCTCCCTTTCTTCCGATCCTGACGTTGCCTCCGCAGCCGAGGAAAACGAAGCCCAACCAGCTGGAAGGGAACTTTCCGCGCATGCGTCATCACCAGGGCACTCGTGACACCAAGCGGAGGAGTGTGGTGCAGGGGAGGGCGAAGTGAGTCACGTTGTCTGCGGCTTTGTGCAACTCTCCTTAAAAACTCTTACTTCGCGTCAATGGAGTTTTCTCCCAAATCAGCCGTGAGTCAGCTTTTGCTCTGTAAGAAGGGAGAAAGATTCCCGCAACTGATCCCCTCCACTAATGGATGAACATAGCAGAATTAAGTTCATGTGATCAACTTTTTGGAAGTTTCCTTCCAAAACGACCCTATTCCTTTCCTAGAACGACCGTCTGGGAACCGAGGTGCAAAATAGTGGCCCCGGCAAGCGGACACAAATGCAAAATGCTGACTCAAGAGGAAGTGCTAATTCCCCTCTGCATCCTTTGAGTATATGTTATTTATTTATTCAATATATAATGGCTAAGATGACCTCCCCGTACAGGTATGAATCAACAGATCACGATTCTAAACTCTGAGAAAATCTTCGTTTCTGTGGAGAGTCATAAGCCCATTACAAATCATCAGGCAATTAGTTTTTATGTGCCATCATGTCATTTCTGTCCTATGGCAACCCTAAGCCTTTATGCTAACCCTCCTTCACCTGCCCCCCCCCATGTTGTTGCATGCCTTCAACTAATCACCCCCATGAATTAGTGTAGTCCAAAGTGGCCTGTCATTGACAGCCCTGCTCAGTTCTTATAAATGCAAGTCTGTGGCTTCTTGATAGAACTGATTCATTTCATATTGGATCTTCCCCCTCTTCTGATTTCAACTTTCCTCCACATTTTTGTCTTCTCCAGTGAATCTTGCCTTCTCCTGAAGTGTTTAAAGTATGACAGTTTCAGTTTTGTTACTTTCCAGGGAAACGTCCTGCTTGATTTCCTGTGGGACCTACTTGTTCATCATTCCGTTGGTCCATGGCATTTGCAAAGCTCTCAACCAGCAGCATGTTCCCATCTCATCAGTTTTCTTCCTGAAAGCTTTCACATCCATACATAGTGATTGGGAATACAGTTGTGTGGATGATCTTGGCATTGGTCTTCAGTAAAACGTCGTTGATTATCTTTTCTAGTCCCTTTTGCCTGCAATCTCCCATTGAGTTGATGACTGAGCAGAATCTGGCACACCTTTGGTGTGTAAACACATATTGTTCACACCTTTTTCTAATCATGGGAATAGAGTACTGTTTGAAGTCAGCATGTATTAAGATTGCTGTGGTTGACTAGAAAAATATGTGGCTGTTTATACATGTTATCGTAGTTGGCTAACTACTGCAGCTCTGCACATGTGAACTTTCATGTGCAGTGTAACATCTATGAGACCGTGTAAATGTTAACATACCTAGTAATGCCTAGGCATGAGAGCATAAGAGCCATGCCAGATCATACCCAGGATCTGTCTAATGTAGTATTCTGTTCACACAGTAGCCCACTGTCATGAGAAACATGTAAGCAGGACATGAGTGCAATAGCACCTTTCCCCACACTATGTTCCCAAGTTACTGCTGTACTTAGGCATGCTGTCTCTGGTTATGGAGGTAGCAAAAAGTTGTTGGGGCTAGTCATTGAGAGGCTTCTGTGCCACTGATTTGTCCAGTCTCCTTTTAAAACCATCCAAAGGGATGGCCATCATTACATTTTGTGGAAGTGAATTCCATAGTTTAACTACATGGTGTGTGAAGAAATGCTTCCTTTTATCTGAACTGAAAAGGAGCCAGCTTCATGAGATGACTCTGAGTTCTTGTGTTATGAGAGAGGAAGAAAAATGTCTCCCCTTTCTTGTCTTTTTCTAAAGTAAATAATCCCAGTTGTTGCAACCTTTCCCTATAGGGGAGTTGTTCCCCTCGTTGTGTTTTCTGCACTTTTTCCAGCTCTACAATATCCATTTTTAGGTGTGATGACCAAAACTGTGCACAGTATTCTAAGTGTGGTTGTACAACATATTTGTATAAGGGGAGTATGACCTTGATGGTTTTAGTTCCAGTTTCAGTTTCATTTCTAATTATGCCTAACATGGAGTTTGTCTTTTTCACAGCTGCCACAGTATTTTGGTTGATATTTTCATCAAAGTGTCCACTACAACCCCAAGATCTCTTTCTTGATCACTCACCAATACATTAGTTTCTATCAGTTTATATTTGAAGTTGGGTTCTTTTGTCCCAATAACTTCTTTATCGTGGTTGGAACTTGCATCTATTCATTTAACATTGGGGCAGTTGAAACCACTGATTATTATAACCTTTCCTTGTTTGAAGACCTCATTGATTCATTTACTGTTTGTATTATTTATATACCACTAAATATAATAAAATCCCACAGCAGTTTTTCATCTCAAGATTACCTTGAGAGTTCTGGTCTGGAGGACAAGAGCACATTCCTAGTATTAAATTAGTTTTGGAACCTAATATCGTCTACACATCTACTGCTGTGGTAGAGTTTAGACCTTTTAGGGTTCTGCTCCTCACTGCATTCTGTACAAAGCAACACAGCTCCTCGAGTATATCATGGCACCTTCCAGATGTGTTGGACTACAAGTCCCATCAAAATGGAGGATGACCTGGAAAGTGTACATCTGGAAGGTGCCAGGTTGGGGAAGGCTGTGGTAGATCACAGCAGTTTTGTTTTTAGAAAACTTGCAAGATACTTCTTGTGCACAAATCACAACTATAATCTGTATGAATTCATTTCTGATGCAAATTTATACAGACAGATTAGAAGTTCTAAAAAGTAGTATCTTTAAGTTGCTCTGATGTAGAGAAAGTCAGTAGACTGCAGCATCCCTTACATGCATTCCTAATTACTGTTGTCTAATCAGGAGTAAGTCCTATGGTGCTCAGCCATACTTATTCCCAGATAGAACAGCAATCCCATGGAGAAGAGGGAGAGGTTTCTTGGAAAAGCAATAATCCATTACTGAGTTCTGCTGGTTCATACTGGCTAGGGCAGAAGTTGAGGGGAGACAAATACTGTGGTTTCTTCCTTCTCCCTGCTACAGAGTTTCCTCTTTTTAAAAGTTATTTCCCTGCTATTGACCACAGAGAGAAGAGAATTAACTAAGCTAGTTCAGGGCTGGTGTCTTTTTTTCCAACCAGTTTGGAGTGGTGTTGAGGAAATTTTATGCGCAAAGGTTTCACATCTTCTCCCAACATGCTTCCAACCCTCTTTTCAGCTCTAGCCACTTTTGGAACATCAACAGTGGAGAAAGAGGCCCATAATATGCTATGGCGCTCAGTGTGCTTTCCCAGGGACTATAAGGTTGTGTCCTACGTATGTTTAGGATTACAGCATTAAACTCGCTTTAAAGTGCATTTCCTCCAAACTGGTAGTAACCACTACAATTGTCCTTGTATGCTATTTACAGATGCTAATTTACACATTGAATACTGTTCAATAATTCTCTGGCCCTATATGTTTAGTGACTGATAGCTAAATGAAACTGACTCACTGATGTGATATATGGGATGATATTGGAATTCTTTTTGATCTGTGATGGCCTTCTGATTTGTCACCTGATGTCTCAAATATGCACATATGAACCAGTCCCAATACACTTTACAGAGTACCTTTTCATGCAGATGTACAAGGATAGAAGGGGTGAGATGACACTTCAAGGCAGCATGGGTTTTTTATCACATTAATATGTTATAACATTCTGAATAAGATTTATCTGTGACAAGTTTGCTCAGCAGATAAACAGCATGACTGGCTTGGCCTCAGTTTTGTTGCAGCCAATCTCATGATGAACAGCTGCAGTCCTCATCTTTTATACTTGCTGTAGATCATGCAAATGAGGAAGGAGAAAGAATGTTTTGATGTCTGAGCAGCTGATTTCTAGAACTCATATACATCTCTGCAAAACTCATTGTTGATTTGAATTCATCTCTACCATGTAGTCCTCTTTCAGATAATTAATGTAATTATCACAGTCTTGCTGTCAGAGGTAGTTTATACATGACAGGTGTGAGCCAGGGTACAGCCATTTTAGAATATATTACCTCCTGCTCTCAGTCTCATTTTCCTCTGAAGCAGCAGGAACTATTTTCATAGGCCATGTGAATGTGAGAGAAATAACAAACTTGCAACAATAAAGCTCCCAAATCCAGATAACTGAAGACAGGCCCAAGTTAGATGAAACAGGATGTTCTAAGCCAAAGGTCAGTTACAAAGATAATATATCCTTCACCTGACCCACACCCATGTTGTTGTTACATGTCATCAAACCATTTCTGACGCATGGCAACCCTGTGGATGAATGCCCTCCAAAATGTCCTATTACTGCCATACTCAGCTCTTGCATATCTAAAGTTGTGGCATCCTTTATAGAACGGACACATCTCATATTTGGCCTTCCTCTTCTTCTGCCTTTGACTTTACCTAGCCTTATTGTCTTATTTCTTTCTCCAATTAAACAACCCTTTAGAAGGCCCTGCAAAGATCAAAAACCAGTGATAGAACAATGGGAAGTCTCTCAGACTGAGATAAGGATGAGAAGAAAAAGCCATGTAACAGCTGATGCTGCACTTCATGGCAAAATTCCCAACTAGGACTGAATTGCTACTGTAGCATCTTTATTTATTTATTTATTTATTTATTTATTTATTTAAAACATTTCTATGCCGCCCCATTCGCCGAAGCCTCACAACATAAATTAAAATATAATACATTCAAAATATAAAACAAATTAACATAAAATAAGTCGCCCTGGCCAGATAAAATAAGCAAATAATATTAACAATTAAAATGATGTTTAAATAAAAAGGTTTAAACGTTTACTTATTGCTAGCAATAAGTAAATATTTTGTCTTGGGTGAGCATGTAAACCAGGGGTCTCAAACTCGCGGCCCGTGGGACGATATTTTGTGGACCCCACTTGATATCAAAGTTTAGTGATAGTGCGGCCTGCTCATTTTTCTCACACGCACCTGCGTGGTCGGCCTTGGGCAGCAGCGGTGGTGGTGGGCTGCTCATCCCGCGTCGCTCCCGGAGGCCGGCCCGGGTGCCGCTG